CAGGAATGGCAAAGGGGAAGAGCCTTCATTCCCAAATGAACCTCCATTCGAAGGGGTATCGCATTAATACTCTGTGCTGCCCTCAGGGTGAGCAGGGCATGTCACAAATGAGCAGCTGTCCGGCTTGTTTCAGGTTCTGGTCTATCTGTCCAGTGTAAAAGTCACCTGTTGTTTTCTTTGCCAGCTCCATCTCTTTGGACACATTTCTTAAAACAGTCCCCAGATGATTTGCTTTAGAATCACCTGGAAGCCTGGCAAAAACACATACTCTTAGTCTCCACTTCGATCGGTGGGATCCAGATTTCTAAAAGTGAGGTTCAAGACTGCATTTCTTCCAGTAAGCATGCCAGATGAATCTGAGATTCTGAGTTCCGCTGCTCTACAATGTTCAAGTAATCGTATCTGTGGATGGCTGTCCAAGTGCACCCATTTACCGAGCCTGCAAACACCCAGTTTGGTACTGAACCTAGTACTTTTCGGCTTTCACCAAACTGTTGCTACTTTCATATCAGTTTGCCTTTTAAGCTGTCAGTCTACACAGTTTTAGTAAGATTTACACTGACGGCTTCAATGACAACGACATTTTTAAGACTGGTGGCAAAAAGCTAATTCAGACAAGCCATCTTTCTGCAAGTGAATTCAGGCACGTACTTCCCCCCACCTGGAGAAGACTGGCATTTAAGTGACTGAGAGCCCGAAGAGGAGCAGTCCTGTGGTAGGAAGAAAAGAGCACAAGCTGTAAAGGAAAAGCCTATGAACATGAGGTTTTCTAAGGTTTGTTTTCGTAACATAAGAGATGCCATTTTGAAGAAATACCCTTAATGAGTAAGAGGTTTCAAATGAGTAGGTGCCTAAAAACTAGCATATACCATTTCTATGTAGCATATAATAGAAAGATCTTTGGAGGTCAACTAGTCCAAAAACAAAACAAAAACCAAACCAAAAACATCTCAGCAGACAGATATATACTTAAGTCATCTGGGAAAATAGTTTCTTGGGGAAGAAGAGTTACCCAAATCGATTTAATTTAACATTGAAAAAATATAAACAAATCTTGGCATGGGAAACTATCAGAAACATGAAGACCGATACATAGGAAAAGCGTGGTATCTATTATACAGTATAAATACACACACAGCCAAACCCAATCCCCTTCCCAAGGACAGAACCATCAGGTCATCCTGCCCCTTCCAGGCTCCCCTACGTCCCACCTGGCCTTCAAGGATGAAGTCCACCTCTGACGCTCACTCTTACTAATGGAGGCCGTGTTCTCTGTGGGAGACATCTCTCTGTAGTGGTGAGAAACATCCGTTTCCCATGGAGAACTGTTTGCAAGTACTGGTGACAGTTTTTAAACACTGACGCTTGTGATAAAAGGGTCAAACTCACAGATGCCTTCTCTGCCAATGGTGCGAGCCATCTGGCAGCCCAGGACTTGGAGGGCAGGTCCCTAACAGCACCTGGAAGGCCCTGAGCTCCTTTCACAGGCAAGTGCTAATGCGAAACTAGGAAAATGTCATGGTCACTCACAAAATGGACCACAGGCTTTGAACACTGAAAAAGAGAACCACAGCTTGCCGGAGATTCATTTATGCTAAAGGGATTGTCTGGAAACATTTTCATCCTAAGCTCGCAATATTTAAATTATGTTTGAAGAATTTGAAAAGGATAAAGTTTAATTTAGTCAGGTTTCTAAAATTAAGAGGAAAAAAATAACAAAGCAAAAGTAACCCTCAGGAACTTTTCCTCCTCTGACTGTCAGTCTATAGTTCGGTTGGCAAAAGAGTGATTTCTTAATTCTGGTTTCCTTAACTAACATTTTAGTTCAAATTTCACTTTCCACACTTTTCCATGAGTATTTCGTTAAACTCTTCTCAGTTCTTAGGCAAACCTTTACTGCCTCCTCTCCTCCTGGTCATTCCCTGCATCCTGGTCTTCCCACCCCACTGCAAGTCCCTTCCAGCTTCCTAGAACTCTGGAGCACTTCAGTAAGGAGATACCGAATGGACACCGGCACCACTACATTTCTGAGTACAAGTGAATGTGCGCTTTTACCTTTTCCTAAAGGGAAAAAAGAAAGACTGCCTGCGATATTTAAACTCTAATCATTTGATTACATTTTTTTCCGCCTGTAATTATCAATATAAGACTAATTAAATCCATGCTACATATACAGTTACTTGCCTTTATGCAAAAGGAAAACCCACTCTGTCATACCATCAAAGAAAAGTGAGAATTATTTATACTATAGTTTAAATTGGCTATAAACTGGTCAGAGCCAAAATAAGTGTCTTTAGGAGGCCACTAAGTTATCCTTGAAAAATCATTCATGACTGTTAAGTCATAGGTTTAATAGTGATTAGTTCATAACATGCTGGATACACCCCAAGCAATGAAGCATAAGCTATTCAATTACATTTAAGTGCTATCAAATCTGTAACTAGTCAGAGATTCTGGAATTGAACCAAACCAATCACTAATATCATCATGTCTTAACAAACTCAGAAGTATACGGTAAAAATGCACTCATTAAGTCCATGAGGTTTATAATGCTATTAAAGTGAAAACAGGTAGGATGGACACGTGGTGCTAACATCTTATTTCTTTCAGTAATTCTCACAACATTGCTGGGTCCTGGAGAAGTCTTATTCAGGTGTGTGTGTGTGTGTGTGTGTGTGTGTGTGTACGTGTGGTTAACGTATTAGATTACTATCCACAAGCTGTAGACCCCTGCTTGGCACCAAATGTACTCTCAGAAGTAGATGTTAGGTGGCAGGTACCAAAATGATGATCAATTCTGTGTGTTCTACGGATTAAACCTCCTCATTTGGTTAAACGCCAGTGTATAACAGAGTTCCACACAGGTCAGAGTTATATCACTTTCAGAGCAGCAATCCGTGATCCAAGGTTCTCTTGAAGGTAGTGCAAAAGATGTAGTTCATAATGTTCTCCAGACTCAGGGACTCTGATGCTGTGCCTCTCCTGAGGGTAGATCTTAACAATAAAAAGTAAAATAATGCACAAAAAAGTTAATAATGCATTTCCTTCCTAAACTTTCCAGAAACTGTTTCCCTAAAAAAGTCAGTGCTGGACTAGCAGATGGCATATGGTTACGTTGCTGAACTCCCACATAGCTGACTGTGGTTCAAGTCCCAGACCTGGTGTGTGTGTGCGCATGCCCACAATCCTAAGAGGAGAAGGAAGGAGAAGGGGTTGTGGTGTGGCCATCCTCCTCTGGCAAGCACACGCACCCTACAGTAAAAGTCTCCCTCTAAAAAATAATTCAGTGTCTTGGTCTAACCCTCCAGCTTCAGCCTTGTGAGTGCTGGGGTAGCCTCATGCCATCATGTCAAGCTCTGTCACACGGGGTCTCACTATGTCGCCCACGTTGGCCTCAAGTATGCAACCCTCCTGACTCGGTCTCCTGAAGAGCTGGGACTACAGGCATGTGCCACTACACCAGCCTCTTAGTGGGCTGGGAATCCAGACCAGGCCTCCATGTGGCCTCACCTGAGGAGCACGAGTGTCTTCCCAGTCACACCACTGTGGTGGGCCTATAGGGCCTTTTGCCTATAGGGTACACACAACTCACCAGAGAGAAACCAAGACAGACAGAGGAAGAGTAAGAAATCACCCCCATTGGGGGAGGGCCACATACAATCCTTTCTCTTCCATTCTCCTCTCAGCTTTTTTTTTTTTTTTTTTTCAAGAGAGATTTTTGCTGTCAGGTGTGTGCGCTTGCTCGATTTAGACAGGTCTTCAGAACCAATTTTGAGGAATATGCAAGGTCAGGACTTTTGACTAATACCAAGCCCGTTATTCATCTTTATCCACTGTGCTGGCTTTTGAACTGATGATGCAGAAGACTGCCGGTGCTGGGCTGGCCCTGAGGCCTGCGGTTGAGGGAGCTGGATCGCACACGGCTGGCCGTGCAGTCTCTCTGGCAAGTGCATGCACACTCTGGAAAACTAAAAAAAAGCCAACACTGCTGGCACCTTATGAATCAAGGAAATAACATTAAATTGTACTAAAAGTCACAGTATTCTTCACCATGACACAATTACAGTAAAAAAGAAAAGTACCAGGCCAGTGCGGTGGCCTGGCGGTTGAGAGAGCAGTTTGAATCTTGGCCCCAGTGGCTTGAAAACCTTGCCGGGCACATGTACACACACGTGTGCCCAAAATTTCAATATGGAGATATGGAGGAGAAGGCACTGCAGAGTAATCGCATCCCACTGGGGAGGGGTGTTGTCTCTCTCCCTCAGTCTTTCTCTGGTGAGTGCCATGCAGTCTCTGGCGAGGAGGAGGAGGAGGAAGAAGAAAGAAAAATGTCACTGAAGCAGCAGTAAAAATTAGACTTTTGTTAAACGGCAACCCTTGAAAGCAGTTCGTTTTAATATTGTGTGGTGCTGAAATGCAAGTGCCGCAGGACGTCTCGAGGAAGGGCAGCGCTGTGGTGCAGTAGTGGGCGCCACCTAAGAGCACACAGGTCTCGGGGGCGACTGCAGTGACTCCCGGCCCTCGCCAGCCTCAAACACACTGAGCACACACGAGTGCCCAGGACCTAGAGAGCTAGACGAAGGGGAGCAGTGCGCGCCAGATCTGATGTGGGATGCTCATCTCTCTCTCTCCCAGCGTGCATGTGGTCTATCATGCATAAAGAAGAGTAACAGGATGGCTCAGGGAAAAGTGCTTATGTGACAGGAATAAGCTGCACTGCTTCTTTTCCTTTCTTTAAAAAAGAATTACTGGGACCAGCAGTTAGCTTAATGGCTATGTTGCTGGATTCCCACGTAGTCAACCGTGGTTCGCATCCCAGACCCAGTGGCTTAAAACTCATGCTGGGAAAAAAACAATAACAGAACTCATGCTGGGTGCATGGGCATGCGTGCCTAAGATCCCAAGAGGAGAATGGAGGAGAAGGGATTGTGGTGTGTCTCACTTTCTGTCTCTCTGTCTCTCTCTGGCTGGCAAACGCAAACATCCTATGGCAAAAATCTCTCCCCCCCCCAAAAACAGCCCACATCCTATGGCAAAAATCTCTCCCCCCCCCAAAAAAAAAGATTTAACTTTATTTATTGATTTATTAATTTAAATTTGACCAGAGAGGAACAGAGTGAGGCAGAGAGAGGAGGAGGGGGAGGGGGAGGGGGAAGAGAGAGAGAGAAATTAATCCATCAGGTCTGGAAGTGAAACAGCAGCCAGTCACATAGGAGTCCAGTGGCCTTAACCACCAGGGCACCTGCTGGCCCTGTGAATTGCTTTTTTTTTTAAAGAATTATCTTATTTAACTTTATTTATTTATTTTAATTTGACCAGGGAGAGACAGAGTGAGCAAGAGAGAGAGAGAGTGAGAAAGGCAAGCTGCCAGGTCCGGGACTTGAATTGAGGTCAGCCATGTGGGAGTCCACACCACCTGCTGACCCCTGAACTGCTTTTATTTATTTTTTATTAAGTTTATTTATTTCCATGACAGAGACACACACATAAAGAGAGACAGAGACATAGAGACAGGCATTCCCAACAGAGTCTTCACAGCATAATCTGCCCCAGCCAGCTCAGATCACAAGCACATGCATGTGCATACTCTGCACGGACAGGGACGCCCGATGACACAAACCTGGGACCTTTCCATGTGGGGCCAGTTACATTATTACAACACTGACCCTAAGTTGCTGTTTTATTTTTTTGTTTGTTTGTTTCTTCCATAAGGAGCATGTACTCATCCCAAACAGAGACAGAGAGAGGGAAAGTGAGAAATCACTTCCAGGGTGATGGCCATGCTGCAATCCCTTCTCCATTTTCCTGGGATTTGGGGCATGCATGCAAATACACCCAATGTGATTTTCAAGCAGCTGGGTCCAGGACTCAAACCATGGTTAGCCATGTGGGAATCCAGTGCCTTAACCACCAGCCACCTGCTGGACACACTTTTTTTTTTTAATTAAAAAAAATGTTTTTAATTGCCAGAGGGCGTGTATACTTGTCAGAGAGACAGAACGAAGGAGAAAGCAACTCCCAAAGGGGCGTAGCACCCTGCAACTCCTTCTCCATCCTTTTGGGATTTGGGGTAAGTATGCCTACATGCCTGGCACGTTTTTCAAGCTACTGGAGCAGGGATTCAAACCAGACTGTCAGTCATGTGGGATCTGGCTCCCTGAACCACTTGGCTACAGGGCTGGTCTACAATGTTGCTTTTTACTCCCTGTGTCTATTTGCCAAAGGTGGATTTCTCCTCACTATGAGAGGAGAAAGTGAGAAAGCACCCCCCTAGGTCAATGGTCATACTACAATCCCTTCTCCATTTCTCCCTTGTGATTTTTGGGCATACATACAATGTGCCTGGCAGGTTTTTCAAGCAGCCAAGTCTGAGACTCAGACCATGTGGTTGGCCATGTGGGATCCAGCTGCCTTAACCACCAATCCATGGGTTGACCCGAAACTGCTCCTTTTAAATGGAACTCTATTTTTAACTTCAGAGAATGACTGATCATCAAGGTTGCTCAGACTGGGGTATCTGGCAGACACTTTCCAAAGATAAATGAAGTGAAGTGGTCACCTGAAGGACAGCACTGATAGTATTTGTTGTGAATGATAAAATGAGAGCTTCTGAATGAAAATTAGAACTCTGGAGCATTTTCATCTGTTACTATTAGCTTACAAGGTTCCCAACACTTACATACTTTTCTTATGAGATCAGTGGTGATATTATTGTATGTGAGATTTAAAATATGTATAATGGAATGAGTCAACATTTGGAAGCTGGCACAACACAATGAACCAATATTTTCCAGATGACCAACATATGGTAGAAAATCCATTTGAAGTACAAAATCCAATAGATTTTAATATGACAGAATATGAAAAATTTATAGACATGACTTTTTTTTTTTTTTTAAAGAGAGATTTCTGTTATAGGACATGCGTGCTTGCTAGAGAGACAGAGAAAGAAAAAATGATAAATCACCCCTGAGGGGGATGGCCATGCTGCAATCCCCTCTACTCCATTCTCCTCTTGGGAATTTGGGTATGCACACATGCATGTGCCGGTGTAAGTTTCAAACCACTGAGTCAGGGACTTGAACTGCAGTTGGCTGTGGGAGTCCAATGCCTTAACCACTATGCCACCTGCTGGTCTCTAGATACGGCTTCTGATGTAAAATTAAAACTAAGCTTTAAGAAATCACCACAGGGCTGGCAGTGGAGTGGTGGTTGAGGGTGCTCAACTCTCACATGCCTGACTGTGATCCCAGTGCTGGACCTGGCAGCTTGCTTTCTCACTTTCCTTTTCTCTCTCTCTCGCTCTGTCCCTCTCTGGTCAAATTAAAATAAATAAAGTTATCGTCATTATCATCATCATTATTATTGAGTCCAGGACTCGAACTGTGGTCAACTATGTGGGAGTCCAGTGCCTTCACTACCACACCACCTGCCAGCCCCATCCACCATTTCTTTTTTTTTTTTTTTTTTGTGAGGTTTTTGCTATAGGGTGCGTGGCTTCGCCAGAAAGTCAGAGAGAAAGCAAGAAATCATCCCTCAGGGGGATGGCCATGCCGCAATCTCTTCTCCTCCATTCTACTCTCTGGATCTTGGGCACATATGCACACATACCTGGCGTGAGTCTAAGCCACCGGGTCTGGGTCTCGAACCGCAGTCAACTACATGGGAGTCCAGCGACATAGCCAATACTTCAACTGCTGGCCCCCATCCCCATTTCTTAACTACATATTCTTTTAGGCTGAGTGTTTCTTAATATACTTTAGTCAAACAACATATCACAACAGACTGAAAGTAGAAGGAGATATAAGAATTTAAACGTCTTTTTTCAAACCTCTACTCATGAGAGTGCATGTGCATACACACGTGAGAGAGATGAGTACTCTCCACGGGGTCTGGGTCACACTGCAACCCCTTTCTCCACCTCTCCAGTTCACGGATCTTGGGCACTTGTGCATGGGCTCAGTGTGTTTCAGGCTAACTGGGCCTGAAAACCGTGGTTGCCATGTGGAATCTGGCTCCTCTTGCACAGCACATTACCACTATGCCATGGAGCCAATCCTCAAGTGTCTTATTAAAGATGTTTATAAAAATGTAAAATAACTATTTTTTCTTAGTAAATACGTTTTTGGTTTAGGAATATAGGGTTTCTTCCCCGTAAATGTGGTTTGTGGGCCAGCAGGTGGTGTGGTGGCTAAGGCACTGGATTCCACATGGCTGACTTTGTGGCTCCAGTCCTGGACCCAGTGACTTGAAAGGCATGCTATCATGTCAGGTGCATGTGCATGTATTCCCAATACTCTGAGAACAGAGAGGAGGAGAACAGACTGTGGTTTGGCCACCTCCCTGGGGTGATTTCTCACCTTCTCTCTCTGTCTTTCTTTGTTTCTCTGGTGAGCACGCATGCCCTATGGCAAAAATTTTCTTCTTTTTTTTTAAGACAGATTTCTTTTGCTTTTGGGTGTGTATGCTTGCCAGAGAAAGAGAGAGAGAGAGACAGAGACAGAGAGAGAGAAAGCAAAAAATCACCCCCCAGGGGGATGGCCATGCCACAATCCCTTCTCTTCCATTCTCCTCTGATTCTTGGGCACGCATGCACATACATCAGGCATGAGTTTTAAGTCACTGGGTCCAGGACTTGAACCGTAGTCAACTACATGGGAGTCTAGCAATATAACCATTACGTCATCTGCTGGTCCCCCATGGCAAAAATCTAAAACAAATTTTAAAAAAGTGATTTGTATTCATATAGTAATTTATTATTATAGTTGTTTAAAACTTTTTCCCCAGTTTTAATATCCCATATGAGAAATACTGAGAGATATAATTCACATAAATAAAGCCTTTTGGTATGTAAAGGGGTCCTGAGACTGAAAAGATTGAAACTTCCTGCTTTTGGGACGAGCAGGTGGTTTGAGACATTGGACTTTAGAGGCTGACATGCTGGATTTCCCACATGACTGACTGCAGTTCAAGTCCCGGACCTGGAAGCCTGCTTTCTCAGTCCCCCACCCCCACCCCATCTTTCTCTGGCAAACTCATGCAAAAAAAAAATAAATAAATAAATTAAATAAATAATTATTTTAAATAATTGCTGCTATAGACAAATCATAAATGTCAGCTGAAATATTAAAAAAGGAATATTTTTTATTTCTTTTTTTTTTTTTTAAGAGAGATTTTTTTGCTATAGGGCACGTGTGCTCACAAGAGAGATGGAGAGACAGAAAGCAAGAAATGACCCTCCGAGGGGATGGCCAGGCTATAATCCTTTCTCCTCAATTCTCCTCTTGGGATTTTTGGGCACATGCACTATGCTTGAGTTTTTCTTTTTCTGTTTTTCTTTTTTGGAGAAGTTTTCACTATAGGACGCATGTGTTCGCCAGGCAGACAGAGAGAGACAGAGAGACAGAAAGCAAGAAATCACCCCCCAGGGGGGATGGCCACGCTGCAATCCCTTCTCCTCCATTCTCCTCTCGGGATCTTGGGCACGCATGCACACGCACCCGGCGTGAGTTTTAAGCCACTGGGTCTGGGACACGAACCACGGTCGACTACATGGGAGTCCAGCGACATAGCCATTATGCTAACTGCTGGTCCCATTATGCTTGAGTTTTAAGCTGCCAAGTCTGGGACTTCAACTGCAGTCAACTACGTGGGAGTTGAGTAACGTAACCATTATGCCATCTGCTGGTCCCAATATTTTTCTTTTCATATGTACACACAATCTGTTTAAGGAGTAGATAGGAATAGTCTCTCTCTCCCTCCTTTTTTTTTTTTTTTTAGGATTTTTGTCATAGGGTATATGTGTTTGCTACAGAGACAATGAGAGGGAAAGTAAAAATCAGCCCCCAGGGGAGATGGCTATGCCACAATCCTTCTCCTCTATTCGCCATGGGATTTTGGGCATGCACGCACACGCCCCGTGTGCTTATCAAGTTGCTCCATCTGGGACTGGAACTGCAGTTAGCCATGTAGGAGTCCAGCAAAGAAATCACGACACCACCTGCTGTCCTCAGTTTCTTTTAAAACTTATTTTTTTTTTTAGTAATGAAGCAATAGAAGAAGATAATTTGCTGGTTTCTGCTCCAATGTCAATATAAAAAAAATTAGCCTAGCTGCAGTGGCACAGGTGGTATCACTACACAATCCTGGTGTCACTTAGGAGGTCCAGGGATGTATCATGGGTCAACTTGCACGTGTGCGTGCTTGTGATCCTGGCTGGCTGGGAGGCGTGGCAAGATCCTGTCAAGGGTATCCCCTTTTCCAACACACACATACACATGGAAAAAATAAATATGCTAAAGGGGGAAAAGAAAATTAAAAGACCTTATAATTAGGTTTTAGAAATATTTTTACAATAATGAAGTCAAGTGGCATTTCCTTCCCTTTGAAGGGGAAAAAGAAAAGTAAAGGAAGATAGTGAATGGACTTCTTATCTTTCTCATGCTTACAAACTGAAAGCGAGACATGTAACCCAACAGGCTAGTTTTTAAGCCTGACGTCAACAGAATCTTAAATCTTATCTATCTAGAGGGTCTATTAGTTATGCCTATTACTTTAGCCCTCTTTCAGCACACAACTGAAAAAGCCTTACTCCACTCCAGTTTGATTTCAGAATAATCACTCACTAGTCACTACCATATTTAATTAGAAAAAAGTAGGATAACTCACCTGTAAATCATATGGCTTTCCAGCCCTCACTAAAAAACTCAGTAATATACTGGTATGTGCAAAATGGACATTCTCATCCAAGAACCCATGTAAGAGTAGTAAACGATTTGGTCTGGAAAAATGAAAATATTAGAGGATTAAGTAAAATAGAAGAGTCTGGTGAAACCCTTAACTTCTTTAAACTAATCACACGACAGTAGTGGGTCATCAGGAAAGCCATGACACATTTTTGCACAGAAAAACATAGCAAAATACGTCATGACTTTTCAGAGACTTAATATATTTACTTTCTTAAACTGTAATATTAGAATAAGGATTTACTATTTCAATATTAAATTTGTAAGAGACCACATGTAATGAAAGATTTTTAAAAAGCGCTCAATTTCTTATTAAAATATTAGAACACATCAATAATTATAGATGTCCCGGGACCAGCAGTTAGCGTAATGGCTATGTCGCTGGACTCCCATGTAGTCAACCGTGGTTTGCATCCCGGACCCGGTGGCTTAAAACTCACGCCGGGCGCGTGTGCGTGCGTGCCCAAGATCCCGAGAGGAGAATGGAGGAGAAGGGATTGCAGCGTGGTCATCCCCCCTGGGGGGTGATTTCTTGCTTTCTATCTCTCTGTCTCTGTCTGTCTGTCTGGTGAGCGCATGCGCCCTATGACAAAAATACCTCTCCAAAAAAAAAAAAAATTATAGATGTCCCCAGAAAAAAATATAAAAAGTATGTAAAGTATATTTAAACAGCCATAGAATTTTTCCATCTTGCATCGATGTGTACTCCTTTCAACATAAACAAATGCTTCAAATACGACTTGCAAAAAAAAAAAACCCAATTATAAGAACTGGCTTATAATTCAGCTTTGAGTAACAGCCATGTCATTCTAAAAATCTACAAAATACTAGTCTTAGTTATTATAGACAATGAAAAATAATACAATTTAAAATTTATAATCTTAACAGTAAAGCTTGAACTTACTCCGAGGGAAATTTTTCTGCTTGCATGGCCACAGATCCTAAGTAATAGCCTTGTTCATTCTGGTCAGGGTGACCCATGTAACGTTCCGTGTATCCTGTATCATAGAAAATCCACAGAGTGACTGGGGCCCCAGCAATAGCAACCTGCATAAGACAACATCGACAGTCAAGTGAGGTCCGGAAGAGTGGCTAGCAATGACTTATAGCAGCAAATTTATAGGCTAAAATTATCCTCAGGCTTTAGCCCAACTACTGGGGCATACATGGCTTTAGGCAACTGAGAAAAATCAAAGTGGGGTTGCCAAGGTCAAGGATTTGATACCCTGGGAGTCAGTAAGTTTCATGTTCCACGGGCATACTACATACCAAACTCTCAGCCTTGGCTTGCTGAACTGCACACACGGGCCACTTTGTTAAAAGGGGAGACCAAACTAGAACTGTGAATTCCTCAGTGTAAACTCATTCCTGTAACTGGGGAAAGAAATGCTAGACTCGTCAGTTTTACAAGCTGATCAAGAAAAGCAACCACTTTGTTTTTATTTTTAAAGGTTTTTCTTGCCATAGGGCACACGAACTTGCTGGAGAGAGTGAGAGGGAAAGTGAGAACTCTTCCCCCAGGGAGAATGGCCATGCCACAATCCCTTCTCCTCCACTCTCCTGGAATTTTGGGCACCCACACACACACCTGGTGTGATTTTCAAGCCACCAAGTCCAAGACTTAAACTACCAGTTAGTCCAGTGGGAGTCCAGAACCTTAACCACTACGCCACCTGCTGGCCCTAGCAGCCACTTTTTCTTTAGCTTCTGTTGGCAATTTGGAATTTCAGTTAATGAAATAAATTTAAATACTAAAATCTTACCTCATTTTAAGGCTCCTATTTCAATTAAAAAATTTAAAAAATTATTATTTAACTCTATTTACTTATTTATATTAATTTAACCAGAGAGACATATATAGAGAGAAAGGGGGAGAGAGAGAGAAAGTGAGAAAGCAAGCCGCCAGTCCGGGACTTGAACCACAGTTGGCTATGTGGGAGTCCGGCGCCCTTAACCAACATGCTACCTGCTGGTCCCAAGGTTCCTATAGATAGTTTTACATTTAAATGTTCTAATTACTTTCTTGACAGCTGCAAGCCTAGGAAAATTATGGGAACTTTCAGATCTCACCTGTAGTTATTATCTGAATATATCTGAAAAACTGAGGGGCAGCAGGTGGTGTGGTAGTTAAAGGTGCTGGACTCCCATGGCTGACCACAATTCGAGTCCTGGACCTGGAGACTGGCTTTCTCACTTTCTCTCTCTCTCATTCTGTCCCTCTCTGGTGAAAGAAATAAAAGAAGGAAGGAAGTTAGTTAGTTAGATAATGGGGCCAGCCGGTAGCATAGAAGTTAAAATGCTAGACTCCCACATGGCCAATTGTGGTTCAAGTCCCAGACCTGGCAGTATGCTTCCTCACTTTTCCTCTCTCTCTCTGGTGAGTATGTATACTCTGTAGCAAATTAAATAATAATAAATAAATAACTCAAAAATTTACCCTTTGGGAAAAGCAGTTGGAATAATGGCTATGTCGCTGGACTCCCAAGTAGTTGACCACAGTTCGAGGCCCAGACCAGGTGGCTTAAACTCACGCCAGACGCATGTGCATGCGTGCTCAAGATCCTGAGAGGAGAATGGAGGAAAAGGGATTGTGGCATGGCCATCCCCACTGGGGGGGGATTTCTCGCTTTCTGTCTCTCTGTCTCTGTCTGTCTGGTGAGCGCACGCGCCCTATAGCAAAAACCGCCAAAAATAAAAAGAAAGGCTTGAGACACACACACACACACACACACACTTTAAAATTTTATTTATTTATTTATTCTAGTTTGACCAGAGAGGGACAGAGAAGGGGGAGAGAGAGAAAGTAGGAAAGCAAGCTGCCAGGTCCGGGACTTGAACCGCGGTCAGTCATGTGGGAGTCCAGGGCTCTTAACCATTACGCCACCTGCCAACCCCTGAGATACATATGTATTTTTATACATGGCTTTAAACACACAAACCCTAATTCCCATAATATCATAGATTCAGTAAATGGGAAAATAGGCATTTTTACATGTCCTCAATGCAGGAAGACTCTGTGACAGAAATGAGTACAATAGGAAGTCACGCACCCTGAAGATATCTGACCTCTGCATCAAGGCCATCAGGGAGAGGTAGCCGCCATAGGACCAGCCGTGGATGCCAACACGGTCCAGGTCGATGAAATCGTATCGAGAAGCCAGATACTGGAGTCCTTCCACCTGATCATCGATTTCTATTTGACCCTGTTAAAAAGGGAGAATATTTCACTGATTCTGAGGAAGCAGTCTCATTGTAAGAGTGCTTTTCAAGTTGATAAATGTTTTTACTAAAAATACCTATGGGTTTTTAGAATAGAATTCATCATCGATTGAGATCCTGTCCCCAGCCCCACTCCCCTAATTTTTAAAAATCTATTTAGGTAGGGTGTCTGTAACTTCTGTTGCTAGCCTGCTCTAGAGTTTAAGTTTATTACCCCTTCCTTGTCATAAAGCTGTTTCCTATTACCACTCACACTGTCCCTTGCTATTTGGGTATTTCCCATTTCCATTTGTTCTGTTGTCTGCTAAGAGGTCAGCATCTTCCTTGTAACAAGCCTTCCTATACCCAAAGACAAAAAATTAGGCCCTCAAATGATTAAAATTCCTTTTCCTTTTTAATGCTTAGCAATGCAATAAAGCAGAGGGACTCACTCTCGAAGCCCTACTGTCCTATTTTCCTATCAAACTGTCTCTAAGAACTGAACACATTGTTGCTTTAAGGTCCTCTTAAATCCAAATTCCTGTCACCACCATTCTGTCTATATTACTAGGCCTGCCAGTGTGTACAATCTCACTTTACTGAGCCAAAATCAAAATTAAAAAAAAAAAAAAAAAAACTTACATGAGAATACAACATAAGGTCAAAGAACTGGCTGTGGGAGAAAATCCCATGTCTTACTCAGCGTGTCCAATACACTGGCAAACAGTAACTGCCTCACTGTGCAAAAGGAACATCGGGTTCTCATCACTTCCCAAAGCAGCAGAAAGGACATAGGGCATCTCTAAAAGGTAGCATTTAAAGCTTCCTGTAGAGAGAAAGAGGCTTGTCACAAGGAGGGCACTAACCAGATGGTGTCCCTCTTCACAGAGGACAGAACAAATCCTAATTACTCCTCCGCAGTGTACGAGATGCTGAGAAACCGGGGCTGCCTTCTGCCTCATGGGACTTACGAAATGGAAGGAGAGGGGATCTCTATGTAAAGTGGCTCTGTCTCGGTGGCCCAAAGGTACACACAGGTAGACGTGAGCTAGCTTAGAGGGTATCAAGGTGCAGCTTCCCTCCCACTTTACACACACACACACACACACACACATACACACACTCACAGACACCCACACACACAAACACAGACACGTGACGTACAGTCAATCACAGCCCCTTCTCCTAACTCTCAACTCTCTCTGGAATTTCACACCAAATAATGTACCAGAAAATGTAAATGTCTTTAAAAGAAAAATGTTTTTATGCTCACACACCATTTTATATTTAAAGGCGCCTTCGAATTTAAGCCCTCGGTGACAGGATCCCCTGTTGTCTATCACCACAACCACATAACCCAGAGAGGCAAGGGTATTCAAGCGGAAATACTTGACTCCTTTGAAACGATTATTCACCAGTTGCACCTAAGGAAGAAACACAACTTCAGTAAAATTCATTTTATGCTAGCATTCAATGTGTGAGAGAAGCAGCACATTGCCAAAAGTAGAAAGCTTACATTTTAAATGTTATTTTGCTTTAAAATGTAATTTTTTAAAAGAGGTTTTTGCCTTAGGGTGTGTGTACTCGCTGGGAGAGAAAAAGACAGCAAGAGGGAAAGTGAGAAATCCCCCCCACCCGAAGATGGCCACGCCTCGATCCTTTCTCCTCCACCCTCATCCTGGGATCTTGGGCACATGCACACACACACACACACACACACACACACACGCCCAGTGTGAGTTTTAGGCCACCAGGGTAGGGACTCAAAATCAGTCAGCCATGTGGGAGTCCAACAACGGAACCACTACGCCATCTACAGACCCCTAAAATGTAATTTTTTTTTTCCCCTGGTCTTGAAGGTTTTTTTTTTAATCATCATAATCATCTTTATATTACATTGGATTACATATAACTTTACAGTGTATTACATTGCTTTTTCAAAAGAGAATGCCATGCATGTCAGTCAATACAGAGACATTAATCTCCCCGCTTCAACATTCAATATCTTTTCTATGTTTTCCCCAATCATTATTATTATTCTAATTATTTTTTCAAAAGTCAATCGCTATTTCTAAAATGTAATTTTTAAATGACTTATTGTTCAAATTAATTTAAATCTTTTCATGTTTATGTTCACTTCTTACTTAACTTCTCACTCAAGGTTCAGGGCAATTACTAAACTACTATAGACTCTAAAACTCTACTCTGTTCCGAGATGGTGTGGAGGTTAAGGTGCTAGATCCCAAATGGCCAACTGCATGATTTGAGTCCCAGACCTGGTGGCTCATACACACATGTGTGTGCATGCCCAAAATCCCAAAAGGAGATTGGAGAAGAGACTGCAGCATAGCCATCCCCCCAGGGGTGATTTCTCACTCTCTCTCTCTCTCTCTGATAAGTGCAAACACTCTATAATAAAACTAAAAAAAGGGACCAGCAGTTAGCACAATGACTATGTCACTGGATTCCAATAGTAGACTGTGGTTCGAGTCCTGGACCCAGTGGCTTAAACTCACGCCAGGCAAGTGTGTGTGCATGCCCAAGATCCCGAGAGGAGAATGGAGGAGAAGGGATTGGGGCATGGCCATGTCCCCTGGGGGGTGATTTCTTGTTTTCTGTCTCTCTGTCTCTCTCTGTCTTTCTGGCGAGTGCACGCACCCTATAGCAAAAACCTCTCCAAAAAAACAAAACAAAACAACAAAAACTCTAACCTAGGTTTTAATATATATAAAAACACTAGTCTACCCTGTAGAAAAAGTTACTAAACTGGGACCGGCAGTTAGCGCAATGGCTTTGTCGCTGGACTTCCCTGTAGTCGATTGCAGTTCGAGCCCCGGACCCGGTGACTTAAAACACACGGCGGGCACGTGTGTGTGTGTGGCCAAGATCTGAAGAGGAGAATAGAGGAGAAGGGACTGTGGCGTGGCCATCCCCCCGAGGGGGTGATTTCTTGCTTTCTGTCTCTCTGTCTTTCTGGCAAGCAAACATGCCCTATGACAAAAACCTCTCAAAAAAAAAAAAAAGTTACTAAACTACTGTACTCTGAAGAATTATATTATTCAAGTGATACCTCAAGATAAGTAAGATCATCTTCCCTCCCCCACTGTCTCTCCTGAGGCTGTTTCTGACCAGCAGTGAGAAAACTTGGCACAGAATACTGTGATCCGTCCAGTTTTGTTTGTCCTGTAGAGTAATTGTAACATTATCTTACTACCCTAGAAACTTCAGACTGAGAGGTAAAATATGTTTTAGTGTCAGGTCAGAAATAAATAATGAAAAGAGGACTGTAATTAGTGGACAAAAAGTTATGCAAGATCAAGATTTAGTAAACACTAAGACAGATTAAACAACAAAAAAAATGTTCTGATAAAAATGAGAGAAGTCTTCTGGGACCAGCAGACAGAGTAATGGTTTCGTCGCTGGACTCCCACATAGTTGACTGAGGCTTGAGTCCTGGACCGGGCAACTTAAAATTTGTGCTGGGCATGTGTGCGTGCATGCCCAAGATCCCGAGAGGAGAATAGAGAAGGGACTGCGGCATGGCCAACCCCCCCTAGGGGTGATTTCTCGATTTCTGTCTCTCTGGCAAGCGCACACACTCTATAGCAAAAATCTCTCTCTCTAAAAAAAAGAGAGAAGTCTTTTTCTGGCAAAAACCAATGGGAAAACCCAGCCAGCTAAGAGTTAAGAAAGAATCAACATCTTCTCTACTAAATAAATAGCTACTGAACACATACCAGCTGCACAGTGCAGGAGGAGCCGTCCTTCATGCACCTTCTGGATGTCTAACACCACTGCAACAGTGCCAAGCTGCTCTTCCTGTCTCTATTGTCGGCTTCTTACAGTCTATTTAGTCACAAAGTAATGGAATGGTTTTTTTTTTTTTTAGTTTTGTTATAGGGTGTGTGCACTCCACAGAGGCAGGGGAGGAGTAAGAAATCATCCCCCGAGGTGGACGGTCATGTCACAATCCCATGCCTTTGGGACCATAGATGATTACCTGGCCCTCAGCTATCTCTATCCTCATCTTCTTCTTCCCTTTTTTTTTTTTTTTTTTTTTAAGTTTTATACTAAAGCACATATGCGCTTACCAGAGACAGGGAGAGACAAGGAAAGTGAGAGATCACCTACCATCCTGTCTATTCCATTCTCCTCTTGGGATTTTGAGCACACAAACACACTCAGTATGACTATTAAGCTCTCAGGTCCGGGGCTTGAACTGCACAGTTGGCAAGGTGGGATTCAGTTGCCTTAACCTCCACACCATCTCCTGGCCCTAGAGTGATAGCATAGGAGGTAAGGTACTCTTCTGCAATGCTGGAGCCACACAGAACACTGTATTTGGGATCCTGGCTTGACCTGAAACATGCTGGGCGGGCACATACAGGCAGGCCTGTAATGCTGGCGGCTGGAAGGCTGGTGGAGGGGGCTGACAGCCTCAGCTTTGTCAAGGAAGTCTGTCTCTGTCTCTCTCAAGAAATAAACAGGGCTATTATTTTAGTACTGTGTGTAAGGAGCTGGATCCCAGATAGCCAACCAAGACCTGAATCCTAGCTCATTGCTTGAAAATCACACAGGGCTGGGCCAGCAGATGGCGTTGTGTTTATGTCACTGTACTCCCACAGGGGAGACCACAGTTCAAGTCCCAGACCTGGTGGCTTGAAACTCAGTGCATGCATGCCCAAGATCCCAAGAGGAAAATGGAGAGGTGACTGCAACATGGCTATCCCTCCTGGGAAGTGATTTCTCGCTTTCTATCTCTCTGTCTTCCTGGCAAGCACACATGCTCTGTATATAGCGAAATTCTCTCAAAAGAAAACAAAACACCAGGGACATTTGCATGCATTCCCCAAATCCTGATTGGATAGAAAAATAAAGCAAAAGAAAGGGATTGATTGGTGACTGTCCAGTGTGACCATCCACACACTGGGAGGCACTTTCTCTTTCTCCTTCCCTCTGGAGAGAACAGGTGATCTCTAGCAAAGTTAATTAATTAAATTAAAAGTAAAGGAAAAGAAAAAAAAAAGTGATGTCAAGAGCCTGTTGCGGATGCTGTTACTCTACCTCATAGAAGAAATAACAAAATAAAATAAAAGCTTCAGTAAAAAGGGGGGGGATCAGATATGAAGGCTGCTCCAGTGGCTACCACTACCCTTCAGGATAAGATCGAAAAAAAATTTTTTTTTTTTTTTTTTTTTTTTTAGAAGGATGTTGCGTGGGACCAGCCGTTAGTGTAATGGCTACGTCGCTGGACTCCCACGTAGTCGACCGTGATTCGCATCCCGGACCCAGTGGCTTAAAACTCATACCGGGCACGTGTGTGTGTATGCCCAAGATCCCGAGGGGAAAAGGGAGGAGAAGAGATTGTGGCGTGGCCATCCCCTCTGGGGGTGATTTCTTGCTTTCTGTCTCTCTGTCTCTCTCTGTCTGTCTGGCGAGCGCACGCGCCCTATAATGAAAAACCTCTCAAAAAAAAAAAAAAGAGAGAGAGAGATCTTTGCTATAGACAGTGTGCGCTTGCTGGAGAGACAGAGACAAAAAACGAGAAATCACTCCCCAGGGGGATGGTCACAGCACAATCCCCTTCTCAATTCTCTTCTCGGGATCTCGGGCACACAAGCACATGCACCTGGCATGAGTTTTAAGCTACTGGGTCTGGGACCTGAACCATGGTCAACTACGTGAGAGTCCAGCAACGTAACCATTATGTCATCTGCTGGCCCCAAGGTCTAAAGTCTTCAGCTGGCCTCTGAGACCTTCAATTACCTGGCCGGAGGCTATCTCTACCCCCATGTTACATCACGCCCCACTGCTCATGCACTGTACCATGGCCCTGTTAACACAAAGCTGGTTCTACTTTTGACATTTTGACATTTCTGTTCCCTCTGCTCTAACGCTCTCCACTCAGCTCTTTTAACACAGCTCATTTCTCCTCAACGTCTGCTTCCTCCAGAGAGGCCTTCCCTGACTGTGCTACTGTCTCAGTCCCTCCGTTAGCTCCATTCCCAGCAATTCTTCACAACACTCCCATGACATGCAGTTGCTATCTTTCCTTTTTCAAAAATTTGCTAGAGGGGGGTCAGCAGGTGGCATGGTGGTTAGGGGCACTGGACTCCCACATGGCTGACTGCGGTTAGAGTCCTGAATCTGGCGGCTTGCTTTCTCCTTCCCCTCTCTCTCTCTCTCTTTTTCTCCCTCTCTTGTCCCTCTCAGGTCAAATTAAAAAATAAGTAAGTAAGTAAGTAAATAAATAAATAAATAAAATAATTCTTAAAAAAAATTTGCTAGAGGGCATGTATGTTTACCAGAAAGAGATGGAGACAGAAAGTGAGAAAGTATCCTCCAGGGCAATTGGGCCAGGCCACAATCCCTCCTCCTACATTTTTCTTTTCAGGATTTTGGGCATGTACGCACATGTACCTGGTATGTTTTTAGCCACCAGGCCTGGCATATAGTTGGCCGTGTGGGATCCAGCTTAGCCATCACCACTGGTCGGCCCTGAAATCATTACCTTTTCTACATCTACTTGTTTAGTGCTTTCCCCAGTAAGGTCTGTGAGGGTGGACACTAGTCTGCCCTGTTCTCTGTGGTGTCCTCACTGCCTGTAACAGTTCCTACTACATAATAGGAACTTGATAACTATTTGCTAAATAAAAACTAGAGATAGCAGAATGGTGCATTTCTAATTTCTCCACATCCTGTACACAATATTCACATTTTTTCTTTTTTCTTTTTTTTAAAGATTTATTTATTTAAATTTGCTATAGGGCACACATGCTTACCAGAGAGAGATAGAGAGAAAGGGGGAAAGTGAGAAAACTACCCATAGGTCCGGGATTCGAACCCCCAGTCAGCCATGTGGGAGTCCAACACCTGTCAGTCTAGCTCCCCCAACCACACTACCTTCTGGTTTCCTATTTATTTTATTTATTATCATGATACATATATTTAAGTTTGTTATAAGGCACATGCATTCACCAAAGAGAGAGAGAAAGTGAGAAAGCAAGTCCCTAGGTCCAGGACTTGAACCACAATGGTCATGTGGGAGTCCAGCTCCTTAACCACCATGCCACCTGCTGGCACCTTACAATCTAGTTTTCATATGTGACTTCTGCATATCTCATATATCATTTTTTTACAGGGAAGAGAAAAAAAATCTTGTTTGCCTTACTGTCAAAATAATTTTTTTTTTTTTTTTGGAGAGATTTTTCACTATAGGGCGCGTGCGCTCGCCAGACAGACAGAGACAGACATTAGAGACAGAAAGCGAGAAATCACCCCCCGGGGGGATGGTCACGCCGCAATCCCTTCTCCTCCATTCTCCTCTCGGGATCTTGGGCACGCACGCACACGCGCCCGGCGTGAGTTTTAAGCCACCGGGTCCGGGACGCGAACCGCGGTCGACCACGTGGGAGTCCAGCGACATAGCCATTACGCTAACTGCTGGTTCCCTGTCAAAATAATTTTTAAAAGTATGTAAAGCTTCTGAGAGTATCTTGCTTTGTATTAAGCCAGTTTTTTAAAGTTAACAAAGATCTGGCTTTAAGTTTTGTTTTGTTTTGTTTTTAAGTTTCTGTTACAGGGCAAGTGCGTTTGCCAGAGAAACCAGAGACAGAGAGAGAGGGAAAGTGAGAAATCACCCCCAGGGGGGAGGACCACACCACATTCCCTTCTCCAGTCGCCAATCAGGATTTGGGGCATGCATGCCCACATGCTTGGCATGATTTTCAAGCTGCTGGGTCCAGGATTCAAATCACACAGTTGGCTATGTGTGATCCAGTGCTTTAACTTCCACACCACCTGCTAGCCTTGGCTTGAGGTTTTTTTTTTTTTTTTTTTTTCAAATAAAAGAATTATCTTTATTTAACTTTTATTTATTTATTTAAATTTGATCAGAGAGAGACAGAGTGAGAGAGAGAGAGAAAGAGCGAGAAACCAAGCTGCCAGGTCCGGGACTTGAACTATGGTCGGCCATGTGGGAGGTCCAGTGACCTTAACCATCACACCGCCTGCCAGCCCCACTGGTTTCAAGTTTTTAACAGAAGTCTACTTTTAACTTCTTTGTGATTTGTGTAGATGACTGACTATAAAACAAATGGTTTCTTTATTTATAAAACACATTCAATGATGGTAAAATGATAACTTGATATCTAACCATCACCTCTAAGACTTTACGGTTAATGTAGTTGTCTTACTTTTATTGTCTGCATGCTTGGTCCCTACATACATTTCTAGATACTAAATAACTGTGTATAACTAACTATGGTTATTTCTGAATCTAAGAGGTGCATTATGAAAACACTGTAATTATAGTCTAAGTTGTTTTTTATTTAATTTGCCAGAAGGTGTATAAACTTGTCAGAAACAGACAGAGAGAGAAAGGGAAAATGAGAAAGCACCCCCGGGAAATGGTCATGCTGCAATCCCTTCTCTTCCATTTCTCTCTCCTTTCAAGATTTTGGGCACATATGTATGTACATGCACCCACAGTGTTTTTCAAGCCACCAGATCTGGAATGTGAACAATGCATTTGGCCTTGTGGGATCTGGCCACATTAACCACCAGGTCTTTTTTTTTTTTTTTTTTTTTTTAATTTTTTACAGAGAAAATCCAACATTGTGTTCCCCGGGTTTTTTTTTTTTTTTTTTTTTTTAAATTTCTAACAGAGTACATGCACATGTATGTGTGAAAAAGATGGAGTTAAGGAGGGAAGGAGAGAGACAGATGCACCCTCTACAGGGCTCAGCTACACTGTCATTTCCTTCCCCTAACACTCCAGCCACCAGGGCCCTGGACATGCACATACGTGGCCAACATGTTTTCAGGGTGGGGCTGAGGACCTGAACTGTGGCTGATATGTGGTTTCTAGCTTTCCAGTCCATCACACCACTGGGTAGGCCACAGAGGCTGGGCCATAATTTGATTTCTTCAAAGGTCCAATGTAAGATACATAATAAAGAATCGGGACCAGCAGTTGGCGTAATAGCTATGTCGCTGAACTCCCATGTAGTCGACTGAGGTCCAAGATCCCGAGAAGAGAATGGAGAAGGGATTGCGGCGTGGCCATCTCCCCTGGGGGCGATGATTTCTTGTTTTCTCGCTCTCTATCTCTCTGGTGAGCACACGTGCCCTGTAGCAAAAACCTCTCCAACAACAACAAAAAAGAAATAATAAATTCTGAAGGTCAGCCTTGTATTGCAGTGGTTAAGTACCAAGCCTCCCATGGCTGACTGTGGCTCAAATCCCAGTCCCTGCAGCCTGAGAAACACATCAGGTGCATGCACCAAATCCTGACAGGACAGAGAAAGGCTTGCAGCATAACTACACCCCACTGAGGGATGCTTTCTCTCTATTTCTCTGGCAAGCACATGTGCCCTCTGGCAATTATAAAAATAATTAAATAAATACATCCTGTCAGGACTTGAGCATGCATGCACAAGCACCTGAAGAGTCTGTCAAGTCGCCAGGGCTGGGGTTTGAACCACAGTCAGTCATGTGGGATCCTGCTCCTGGTACACAGCACTTAACCACCATAGGGCCAGCCTGAGCTGTAAACTTGCTCCAGTACTCAAGAGTAGTACAACATTTGCTTTAACTAGCTGATAAAAGTATTCTAGTTCGTTTGAGAGATACGACTTTAGAATTAAGAGAGAGAATTCACTAGGCTACCAAGGTTTTCTTGAAACATTTAATTATTTAATTTCATTTCCCAAATAAATTTATCTACAGAGAATGCAAAATATTTACCTATAGAAATGAATAGTCCACTCCCCATGAAGGTCACAGTTCTCACTGTAAATTAAGAAAGTGATTTACTGGAGCTAGCAAGTAGTGTAGTGGTTAAGGCAATGAACTCCCATATGGCCGACTGCAGTTTGAGTCCTAGATCTGGCGGCTTTCTCTCTCTCTCTCGTCAAATTGGAGAATAATAATAAAAGTAAATAATTATTATTTTTTTTAAAGCAATTGATTCACTGGTTTACAAGTGAGCCATGTAAAGTCAAGTCTAGCTTCCTGAATTCCTAAACTGGGTAATTAGCACGCATGCCAGAGTTGATAATAGCAGATGTCCCACAGTACTCAAAATCTTAATGTAAAATAGACAACTCACTATAGTTTGTTTTTGAGGATGGATGAGCTGCCAGGCAGAGATGAAGAGACAGAGACAGACAGAAAGTACCTCCCCCATGGGGCATGTTACCCTGCAATGCCTTCTCCATTTCTCCACTCATTGGGATTTCGGGCATATAAGCACATGTGCCCAGCATGCTTTTCAAGTCACCAGAGCTGGGACTTAAACTGTGTAGTTGGCCATGTGGAATCTGGCTCTCTATAACCACTAGGCTACAGGTCCGGCCCCTGACTAGACATTTAAAAAAACAATCACGAGGCCTGGCAGGTGGCATGGTGGTTAAGGTGCTGGACTTGCACACGGCCGACCTGGTGGCTTGCTTTCTCACTTTCCCTATCTCTTGCTGTCTCTCTCGGGTCAAATTAAAAAATAACAAAACGACAAAAATAAAATTAAATAATTATTTAAACAAACAAAAATCACAAGTGTGTATGTGTATATATGTGTGTGTGTAAATATATGTATGTATATATATAAATATGCCTACCTGAGGACCACCATATATAAACAGCACAGTGGGGTATTTCTTTCCAGGCTGTAGATCATGAGGCTTATACAGCATCCCATACAATGTAAATCCAGTAGTACTTTCAAAAGAGAAAATTTCTGGAGGGGTATAGTCAGGAAGAGGACCTGTGAACAGGTGACAGAGTCTATAAAATAAGTTCCTATGGGAGCACTGCAATCTGAGAGCAGGAGAAACAATGTCACAACCCAGACGCCCCTACCCACAAATAACTGACCAGCTTCCTTTCAGGTGGTAAGTTAGAAATAAAGTTATGGTAAGTTAGAAATAAAGTTAGACTATCTGTCTTTTAAAAATATAGCAAAATTATCTATGTCAGAAGCAGACACACCTTGTCCCAAATAATCCTGGGAGCCTAGCAGATGTCCATAAACTGACCCATACAAAGTCTGTGCTGTTTCAAGTAATTTATTGATGGTTAAGCATGTAACTGACTAGGAAACAGGCCTGTATCTCAATAAAGCTAAGGCAAAAAAAGGAAACAAAGTGCATGTTTAATTTAGCTCATTTAACCTGCTCTTGACATACTCAGTAAATATGTTTCTGATCAGTAGAAAATAAGCCTGACCAATGCAGCACTCCTTGGTGCTAATGCAGAAACTGCATGGGAAGGCCCCAGGTCCCCATCACGAGGTGCCCCCTGCGCATATGGTGAACAGAGGCAGGAGGAGGTGCCGCACCGCAAGCACTTGCCTGTGGTCTTGGCTGGCTAAGGCTGGAGGTGGATGATGGTATGAAGACCCTGCTGGGGGTCTCTCCTTCTTTCTTAGAAATATGAATTAAGAAAGGAAAGAAAGCTAACTAGGACCCAATAAAAGAAATGGTGCCATCTATCTTTGGTTTACCGAAGTTACACGGACCTCCCCTAAATGTCTGTCTGCAGTGGGCGATGTTAGGTCAAAGCAGCAATCATCGTCACATCACGAACTCTGCTTGTGGACGTTAAAATCTACCCATATCTTTTGATTCTACACTAATTTCTTAACCTGTCAGTAGATATTAATGAGTGAAAATACCTAACTTAGACATTTAAAAAATATTTAGATGAAAAACAAATATAAATTAGAGCCATGCCCCCATGGCCTAGTGAGTAAGGGAGTTGGAAACCACCTGGCCAAATCCTGGCCCTGGGCACTTGAAAGCTATGCTGGGCATGCACAGATACCTCCTCCAAACCTCAAGAGGAAGGAGAAGCGGAGAAGAAAGGGTTACAGTACAACCATGCTCCATTTTGGAGCTGCTTTGTCCCTTGCCCTGCCCCACCCCCCGAGAACACTGGTACATTCTGACAATAAAAAAGATACAGAAATTTGTTCTTTTTTTCCCCAGGTTTTGCCATAGAGTGCGTGCGCTTGCCAGAGAGAGAGACTCACATACATGCCTGACATAATTTTCAAGCTATATGAGCTAATGGGTTCAGACTTGAACTGTGGTTGGCCATGTAGGAGTCCTATACCACCTCCTGGCCCTGTGAAATTATACCATTCTTTAAGAAATCAAGATTTTTTTTCCCTTCAGTTTTTGCTATTGGGCTCATGCACTTATCAGACAAAGAGAAAGTAAGAAATCACCCCCCGGGGGCATGAACACATGTCAATCCATTCTCCTCTTGGGATTCTGGGCACATAAGTACATACTCTCTGGCAAAAGCATGTGCTCTATAGCAAAATTTAGAAAAAGAACAAAAAGATAATTCACTGTGCTCCTTACTCTCATAAAGAGCAAATAGTTTATCTTTTTTTTTTTTTTTTTTTTCCAGAAAGCATCTCCGAAGGGGTTGGTCATACCACAGTTCCTTCTCCATTCTCTTCAGATTTTGGGCATACACACATACCTGGCATGCTTTTCAAGTTGCTGGATCCAGGGCTCAAACCATGCAGTCGGCCATGTGGGACCTGGCCATCTTAAGCACCAGACCATTGGCTAGCCCAAGTACCGCATCTTTTATTAAGATGGCCACTGTAGCCCAGCCTGCTGGCACGTGCAGTCAGTAGCAAACTTAAGTGCATCTGGTCAAGCCACAATCCTTTATCCTCCCTTTCTCCATAAGGTCATGACTTTGGACACACACACATAGGCCTGGTGTTTCTCAAGCTGCCACAGACATATTTGGACTGCACAGTTGACCATGTGGGATTGAGCTCCCTTAACTACTGGGCGATAGGGGCGGCCCAAGAACCTGACTATTTGAATCTTATTTTCAAAAAGGCCTTTGCCCTGTTCTTACCTGGAGTGGGCAGTAACACATCTTATTCAGCAGTTGATAGAATGGGAGTGGGATGAATTAGGAGCCCCACAGCTCAAGGACAAGCAGTGGAGAGAGACAGAACACTCTGCTAGACAGTGTGGACTTACGGTAGGTTCAATAGGCCAAAGTACTAATCCTCTTTAAGTCAGGTTTGAGAAGAAAAGGAAAAAAAAATACCTGCTGAATCCAGAATAGTGGCCCAAAATTCCTTTGTTTTGCAAGTTGGGTCATCTTCAGGATTTGACAGCTTGTAAAGGGACACGCAGTGTGGATTCTTCTGGTTACTATACTTACTTATAAAGAAGTCACAGTGCTAGGAAAAAAGGACACAATTATCATGGTTTTAAAGATTTATTCATTTATTTAATTCCATTTGTTAATATTATTTTTAAAATTTGACCAGAGAAAGACAGAGACAGAGAGAAAGGGAAAGCAAGAAAGCAAGCCGTCAGGTCCAAGACTTGAACCACAGTTGCCATATGGGAGTTCAGTGTCTTCAACTACTGTGCCACCTGTCAGCCCCCACAATTATGTTCTCCCCCAGGGAAAAGTAGGTCTTCTGCTGTTACTTGTGCACTAATGCTGTTTACAGCAAGAGTACATACAATAGAAATATGACAAACTATGTACACAGACAACACTGAAGTTAGAGCTAAGCCTTCTAAGTTTTTCCTAGGAGAATCAGGCTTCTGTAGGTCAATTTCACCAATTTCTACCTCACTGAAAAGGAGTATTACATGAGCAGAGTTTTTATGTGACCAAAACCCCTTTTCAAATAGATACTTTATACCTGGCTGATGCAGCAAGAGTGAGAGTAGCCACGGTCGGTCAGCCTGGTCACCTCTCCAGGATTTATGTAACTGACTACATACAAGTGATGTTCTAAAGGGGAGTCTTTGGTGCCTTCAAAATATACCAGTCTTCTGACTTCATCAACCTGGATCTGTCAAAAGAATAAACAAATATCAGTGGTAGTAAAAACTTGGCAAAGCCAGGAATTCAACAAACAACCCCCAATTTTACTTGGACTCATTTGACTCACCCTTTGACTTGTGCCTCTATTTTTAAAAATATATATTTTTGGTCAGCAGATGGTCTAGTGATTACATGGCTAGACTCCTATGTGGCTGATTGTGGTTTGAGTCCTGGACCTGGTGGCTTGAAATTCATGCCAAGTACATGTGCAGGTGTGTGTACCTAAAAGCCCAAGAGGAGAATGGAGAAGGGAGTGTAGCATGGGAGGGGATGATGTCTCACTTTCCCTGTCACTATATCTGTCAATTATCTCCAGTGAACACACACCCCCATGGCAAAAACTTCTACCCCCAAAAAAGAAAAAAAGAACTGCTACTAATATTAATGAACCTGAGTTGGTTTTGCTAGAGACTTAGAACTAAGTATGCTCTTAATGCATGCTTTTTTTTTTTTTTTTTTTTTGGGGGTTTTTGCTATAGGGCACGTGCGCTTGCCAGAAAGACAGAGAGAGACAGAAATCAAGAAATCACCCCCCAGGGGAGATGGCAACACTGCAATCCCTTCTCCTCCATTCTCCTGTCGGGATCTTGGACATGCATGCAAACGTGCTCGGCGTGAGTTTAAGCCACCGGGTCTGGGACTCGAACTGCATTCGACTACATGTGAGTCCAGTGACATAGCCATTACGCTAACTGCTGGTCCCTTAATAAATGCTTTCTAGAAACATAAGAATTTGCTCCTTAAAATAACAACTCTTTACAGGGGAAAAAAATACTGTATATTTCACCTTAGGTCAACTACTCATGCACACTTTAGAGTCTAATTTTAGTATCTCATATAGGGTTATCTTAGGCAGTACTTTTTTGTTTTTCCACAAATATTTATAAAAGTGTTTTATCTGTTGGATTGGGGAATTACTAAACTCAATCACAGTTTTAATACAGATACAGTTTCCAAATAAGTCTGGACAAGATCTTTTTTTTTTTCTTTTGAGAGGTTTATACGATAGGGTGTGTGCACTCACCAGAAAGACAGAGAGAGAAAGAGAGAGAGAGTGACAGAAGTGACAAATCACTCCCCAGGGGGATGGCCACACCACAATTCTTTCTCCTCCATCCTCTCAGGATCTTGGACACGTATACACACGCACCCGGCATGAGTTTAAGCCACCGGGTCCGGGACTTGAACCATCGTTGACTACATGGGAGTCCAGTGACATAGCCATTACACCAACTGCCGGTCCCAGATCTTTTTATTTTTAGAGAGAGATTTTTGGTATATGGCATGTGCAGTTGCCAGGGAGACAGACAAAAAGTGAAAAATCACCCCTTGGGGGGATGGTCATGCCACAATCCCTTCTCCTTCATTCTCATGTTAGGATTTTGGGCATGTACACACACACACATCCAAAGTGAGTTTCAAGCCGCTCGGTCTGGGACTCAAAATGTGGTTGACTATGTGGGAGTCCAGCAATATAACCATTATGCCATCTGCTGGTCCCAAGTATGGATAAGATTCTCCCCAAATTAGAGCAAGATTCTAAATAAATGGCTTTTTTTTTCCCCTTTCCTATATTTTTTAGGCTTTTGCCATAGGGTGTATGTGCTAACCAAAGGAAGTAAAAAATCACCCCCCCGGGGAGATGGCTATGCTACAATTCCTTCTTCTCCATTCTTCTCTTGGGACTTTGGGCACATATGAACAAATGTCTGATATGATTTTCAAGTCACCAGATCCAGCTGACCGAATGGGAATCCAGCATTTAACCACCATGCCCCCTACTAGTCCCAATAAATGGCCTTGTTTAATTGTTCCTTTAGAACATCTACCAGCTTACTCAAACAATGTTTCCAAAAATTCAAAAAAAATTTTTTTGAGAGTTTTTTGCTATAGGGCAAAAAGACAAAGTGAGAAATCACCCCCTAGGGGGATGGCCACGCCACATCCCTTCTCCTCCATTTACCTCTCGGGATCTTGGGCATGCATGCACACGTGCCCAGCGTGAGTGTAAGCCTCCAGGTCCGGGATTCAAACCGCAGTTAACTACATGGGAGTTCAGCGACAGCTATTACGCTAACTGCTGGTCCCAATAATTCAAAATTTTTTACACAGCAAAGAAAACAGACACATACTTTTAAAACTTGTTCTAACCAGAAAGTTTCTTCTTTATCATTAAACTTTTTTTTAGCATGCATAAATACAGAAAAAAAACCACAGTAGCAATTAAGTAGGTCTATGACAAATATAAGAAACAAACACTCAAAAAGTGTCACAGGTATGCATTAATCTCTGGAAAAGGTGAGGTTCTGCTATTGACTTAGCAGCTGGGAATCCAGCCTTTTAAAACTGAAGGGACAGGGGATCAGCGGATGGTGTAATGGTTATGTTGCTGGACTCCTGTGTAGTTGACACAGTTTGAGTCCTAGACCCAGACGCTTAAGGGTGCATGTGTGTGCATGTGTGCCCAAAACCCTAAGAGGAGAATGGAGAAGGGAGTGCAGTATGGCCATTCCCCTGGGAGTGGGCTGATTTCTCTTTTTTTTTTCTCACTGTCTCTGTCTCTCTTCAGCAAGGGCAAATACCCTATAGCAAAAGTCTTAAAAATAGGGACCAGCAGATGGCATAGCAGTTACGTGGGAGTCACTGGACTCCCATGTAGTCAACCGCAGTTCGAGTCCCAGACTTGGTGGCTTAAAAGTCATGCCGGGGGCTGGAAGGTGGCATGGTGGTTGAGGTGCTTGGACTCTCATATGGCTGACCAAGGTTTGAGTCTGGGACCTGGTGGCTTGTTTTCTTACTTTCTGTCTCTCTCTCTTTCTCTTTCTGGTCAAACTAAAATAAATGAATAAACAGGGGCCAGCAGGTGGTGTGGTGGCTAAGGTGCTGGAACCTCCCACATGGCTGACCACAGTTCAAGTCCCCAACCTGGTGGCTTGCTTTCTCACTTTCCCTCTCTCTCTGGTCAAATTAAAATGAATGGATGAATAAATAAAATAAAAATAAATCATTCTTTAAAAAAAAAATGAATAAATAGATTAAAGTAAAATAATTATTTTTAAAAAGCAAAAAAACAAACAAAAAACCCACAATGGGTATGTGTGTGTGTGTGTGTGTGTGTGTGTGTGTGTGTGTGTATGTCCAAAATCCCAGGAGGAGAACAGAGAAGAACTGTGGCGTGGCCATCCCCACTGGGGTATGATTTCTTGCTGTCTCTTTCTGTCTCTCTGGCAAGCATACATACCCTATAGCCAAAATGTCTTCCAAAAAAAATCCTTACAAATAAATAAATAAGGATGGTAGGAGATGTAGTGGTTAAGGGTGCTGCACTTCCACATGGCTGACCGTGGTTTGAGACCCAGATCTGGTGGCTTGCTTTCTCACTTTCCCTCTTTCTCTCTCTGTCTGTCTCTGATCAAAGTAGAAATTAATAATAATACATAAAGTAAAATAATTCTTTTAAAATATTTTATTTAACTCTATCTATCTATCTATTTATTTATTTATTTAAATTTGAACAGAGAGGGACAGAATGAGTGAGAGAGAGAGAGAGAGAGAGTGAGTGAGTGAGAGAGAGAGGGAAAATGAGAAAGCAAGCTGCCAGGCCTGGGACTCAAACCGCAGTTGGTCATGTGAGAGTCTATCCAGCATCCTTAACTACCATACCACTTACCAGCCCCGAAGTTAAATAATTCTTTTTTTGTTTTAAAGAATAATTTTTATTTATTTATTTATTCATTTAATTAATTAATCAATTAACTAGACCACTGAGGGACAGAGTGAGAGAGAGAGAGAGAAAAAGGGAGAGTGAGAAAGCAAGCTGCCAGGTTCGAGACTCGAACTGTGGTCGGCCATATGGGTGTACAGCACCCTTAATCACCACACCACCTGCTGGCCCCAAAGTTGGGGCACACAAACCTGGTGTGATTTTCAAGCTGCTGGGTCCAGGACTCAAACTGCAGTTGTCCATATAGGATCCAGTGCCTTAACCACCATGCAACCTGTTGTCCCCAGAATAAAAGTAACTTTAGAAGTAGACAACATTTGGGCCAGCCCACAGCATGGCAGCCAAAGAGCCAGATCCTGGATGGTCAACTGCTAGTTTGAGTCCCAGAATCAGCCGCTTGAAAAACACACCCAGGCATGTGTCTGTGTGTGCCCAAAATCCCATAGGAGAGAGATGGGAGGAGAAAGGAGTATGGCGTGACACTCCCCACGGGGTAGGGATGCTTTCTACCTGTCCCTGTCTCTCTCTGGCACGTGAATGTACCCTCTGGCAAAAAAAAAAAAAAACCCTCTGGCAAAAAAAAAAAAAAAAAAAAACACAAAAAAAGAACAGGAATGATAAAAAAATCCAAAACAAGGGTTGTCAGAGAATATCAAGAACAAATCTCAATACCAAGGCTATAAAATGGGCGAAACTTATTAATTTAAACTAAGATTCTTTCTTTCCAACAGTTGAGTTCTTTTAGGCCTAAACTTAGTATTTTCAAAACACTGAGGTCAGATTCTAGCCTGTGTTACTAATTTTAGAACTGCTATGTGTATAGCAGATGTAGACCAAACATATCAGCAGAATAAAACATACATTAGATCCATGCCGGCCGAGCACTTCCCATTCACCACTGGTAATTGCTATTTCCTCTTTGATAGGACACTTGAAATCACCTAAAAATAAAAATAGTTATTATTCAGGACTTTATACCAAACAAAAAACAAATAAAACAATTAATGATAGTATCTTAAACTCCTATTTCCAAAAACGTGCATTTTAAAAACCCAAGAATCTTTGGGCAATTAAAATGTTTTGGGTCTGGGACCAGCAGTTAGCGTAATGGCTATATCGCTGGACTCCCACGTAGCTGACCGCAGCTTGAGTCCCGGACCCAGTGGCTTAAACTCACACCGGGCGCGTGTGTGTGTGTGCCCAAGATCCCAAGAGGAGAATGGAGGAGAAGGGACTGTGGCGTGGCCATCCCCTTTGGGGGGTGATTTCTCGCTTTCTATCTCTCTGTCTCTCTCTGTCTGTCTGGCGAGTGCACGCGCCCTATAGCAAACACCTCTCCAAAAAAAAAAAAAGTTTTGGATCTGGTCCCAGGGCCTAGTGGTTGCAAGAGATAGATCCCACATGGCTGAGTGTACAGTTTGAGTCTCGGTCATGCTGGTTTGGAAGACATGCTGAGTGCATTTGGGTCCCCAGGATCCTGACAAGATAGAGAAATGGAGAAGGGACTGTGGCATGACTGGGCACCATTGAGGCAGGTACTTTATCCTTCTCCCTCTGTCTCTGTCTGGTGAACACATGTGCCCTTGGACAAATAAAAAATAAATGATAATGAAAAGAAAATGTTTTAGACCTAGATAGAAGGGTGATGGCACAAGATTCTGAATGTACTAAATGCTATTGAATTTCTAAATTGGTTCATTTAACATTATGTGAATTTAATTTCAATGAAAAACATCTACAGTTAAAAAATTCAAGTTATGGGAACCAGCAGTTAGCGTAATGGCTATGTCGCTGGACTCCCACGTAGTCAACTGCGGTTCACGTCCCGGACCCGGTGACTTAAAACTCACGCCAGGCGCGTGTGCGTGTGTGCCCAAGATCCCGAGAGGAGAATGGAGAAGGGATTGCGGCGTGACCATCCCCCCTGGGGGGTGATTTCTCGCTTTCTGTCTCTATGTCTCTCTCTGTCTGGCGAGCGCACGCGACCTATAGTGAAAAACCTCTCAAAAAAAAAAATTCAAGTTACAAGTGTTCTCAACACTCTCAAATAATGACAGAATAATGAATAATTCATGTAGATAATGTGAAAAGGACAAGATAGATCACTATGGCAAAGCCAGAAAAGAATAGAAGCACCTATATTCTTGGACCTTTTCTTAGACAAAGAAGTTGTTGGCAAAACGTTTCTTCTAGAAGTGCAACAAACTACTTTCAAAGCCATAGGAGAAAAATTTCAATACAGTTCATTTTCATTCACTAAAAAAAAAAAAAAAAGAAAGAAAAACAAACAAACAAACAAAAAACTAGGTAAGTTTTTACCATAGTAAATGCCAACATGCTTATGACCTTCAAAAGATTCTGTCTCAATGAGGGCAGTCTCGCTCAGTGGTGTAAGCAGGAGGATAAAAAAAAAACAAAACATGAAAACTTTTTCCCTTTTCCTAACTGCTCATATCCACAGCTGTGAGGAGTCACAGCTGAGGACAAGCTGACATGGTGAGGTGTCATGGGAGCTTCACTAGGGTCCCATGTAAGTTTAAAAAAAAAAAAATCAGTTGATTTTTTTTTTTTAGAGAGAGATTTTTGGTATAGGGTGCATGTGCTTGCTGGAGAGACAGAGAGAAAGAAAGCAAGAAATTGCCCCTGGGGGGATGGCCAGCTGAAACCCCTTTTCCTCCATTTTCCTCTCGGGATTTTGGGCACGCACGCACATGCACCCAGCATGAGTTTAAGCCACTGGGTCCAGAAGTCAAACAGTTGACCACGTGGGAGTCTAGCCACATTATCATTACATGATCTGCTGGTCCCTTATTTATTATTTTTAGATACAAAAAATTCAACTTAATACCTTAAATTTGATAACTAGAAAGTAAGAGTATTTTGTACATAGATAACAAATACTAATTGTTTCATGGCCTATCTACATAATAAGGAAAGGAGGGAGAAGGAAAATGAAGTGAACTTGAAGAAAAAGGAGGGAGACTTGAAGCAAGGACTAAGGGGAGAAAAAAGAGAGGAAGGGGTAGAGAAACTGAGGGCCCAGAAACGGACACCGACGGGGAGCACAGTGAGTGCTCTGGGCTGAAGGTGGCCGTAGGAACACTCCGTACACTCCAGTTGGGGCATAAAACTTGAAGTTATCATCTTTTATTACAGTTCTAAAACTGCCATGTTAAGTTAAGTACTATTCGCAGCTCTTTGATCAGTTTTTATCATTCAACTTTCTGGAACCCCCCAAGTGGATTTCATTTCTGAACAACAGAGGAATCAGTAAAGGCAGCACCGCGCTAAGGGCTAAGCGAGGCTCAGGTGCTCAGGACGGAAACCCCTCGCCTTGGATATGCTAGATGTAGCCGGCCTGAGAACTAGCTGAGGACAGGAGAAGAGCCGTAGACAGTATTTCTTTTGCTAAGCCCAAGATATAGTTCCCCATTCTCCAAATAAGAACGATATTTAAAAGCCACGTTGAAAAGACACTCCAAAGTTTTTTTTTTGTTTTGTTTTGTTTTTAGATTTTTGCTATAGGGCATGTGTGCTAGCCAGAGAGACAGAAAGCAAGAACCCACCCCCCACGGGGTTGACATGCCACAATTCCTTTTCCTCTTAGGATTTTGAGCACACATGCACACGTGCCCAGTGTGAGTTTCAAGCTACTGGGCCTGGGACTCAAACTGCAGTAGACTAAGTCCCTACATCACCAAAACAATCTAATTTTTTTTTTTTTTTGGAGAGGTGTTTGATATATGGCACATGTGCGTGCCAGAAAGACAGAGAGAGACAGAGAGACAGAAAGCAAGAAATCACCCCCCAGGGGAGTTGGTCACACCGCAATCCCTTCCCCTCCATTCTCCTCTCGGGATCTTGGGCACACATGCACATGCACCCGGCGTGAATTTAAGCCACCGGGTCTGGGACTCAAACCGTGGTCGACTACATGGGAGTTCAGCAACATAGCCATTGTGCCAGCTGCTGGTCCCTAATTTTTAAAATGGGCAAAGGACCTGAACAAGTATTTTTCCAGACAAGATATACACAGGGTCAGTAAGTACATAAAGAGACATTCCACATTAATCAGTAAAGAACTGAAATAAAAACTAATAATATCATTTCACACCCACCAGGATGGCTGCTATCAAAAAAGAAGCAAGCTGGAGACGGCCCTATAGCTCAGTGGAGCCATAGTATACTGTATATTGGGAGTCATATTCCACATGGCTAACTGTTGTTTGAATCACATCTCAGGAGGCTTGACAAACAAGGTGTATGTGTGTGCGCTCACTTAACATCCTGATGAGATGGAGAAAAGAAGACTACCACACCTCACTAGAGGACTGCTTCCTTTCTCTCCCTCTTTCTCAACTAAAGGTGAAAAAAACAAACAAACTAAACTAAACTAAAATGAACAGAAAATAACTAGCATTATTAAGGATGTAGAGATTGATTAAGAATTGTGCCCTCCGGGTGAGAATGTAAAATGGTGCAGTCACTAACACTGCTATACTAATGGTGTAGCCACTACGGAAAATAGTATGGCAGGTCCTTTCCTTGAAAAATTAAACATAGAATTCCCATGTGATCCAGTAATTCTGTTTCTGGGTGAATGTCTAAAAGAAGTGAAGCAGAGACAAGGTCAGATATCTGTACACTCATGTCCATAGCAGCATTATTCCTAATAGCCAAAAGGGGGAAGCAACACAAGTGTCCTTTAACAGACAAATAAACAAAACGTAGTAGATATAAAATGAATTTTTAATCCTAAAAAGCAAGGGGATTCTGACACATACTACAAAATGGATGAACCTTGAAGATATTATGCTAAGTGAAGTAAGCCGGTCACAAAAGGACAAATACTATGTGACTCTATTGAACAAGATGTCTAGAGCAGTTATATTCAGAGAGACAAAGTAGCTGACAGGCACAGGTGCTCACCAGAGAGAGACAGAGAGAGGGAAAGTTAGAAATGACTTCCCCGGGGAACGGCCACACTGTGATTCCTTCTCTTCCATTCTCCCCTCGTGATTTTAGGCATGTACACTCATGCACCCAGCGTGGTTTTTTTTTTTTTTTTTTTTTAAGAAGTTTTAGATCCTATATTAAAAATAATATAGGATCATCTTAAATTAAACACTGCAATCAAGGAGCCAGCAGGTGATGTACTGGTTAAGGTGCTGGACCCCCACATGGCTGACCATGGTTGGAATCCTGGACCTGACAGCTTGCTTTTTCACTGCCTCTCACTCTCTGGTCAAATTTCTTTAAAAAATTATTTAATTCCATTTGCTATTATTATTTTTCAATTTGACCAGACAGAGACAGAGAGAGAAAGGGAAGGTAAGAAAGCAAGCCACCAGGTCTAGTACTTGAACTGCAATCAGCCATGTGGGAATCCAGTGCCCCTAACCATGTCACCTGCCAGCTGCCTCTCTCTGGTCAAATTTTTAAAAATAATAAATAAAATAAATAATTCTTAAAAAAAAAAAATGCAGTCAGGACCAGCAGATGGTGTAATGATTACGTTGCTGGACTCTACATAGTCTACCTCAGTTTAAGTCCCAAACCCAGTGGCTTAAAACTCATGCCAGGCGTGTGTACATGCATGCCCAAGATCCTGAGAGGAGAATGGAGAAGAAGAGATTGCAGTGTGGCCATGCCCTCTGAGGGCTGATTTCTCGCTTTCTGTCTCTCTGTCAAGTGCACATGCTCTATAGCAAAAATCCTTCAAAGGAAAAAAAAAAAATGCAGTCAAAGCAAAAATAGAAAGTAAAAATAAGTGGGACCAGCAGGTGGCATGGTGGTTAAGGTGCTGGACACTCCATGGCTGATCACGGTTCAAGTCCTGGACCTGGTAACTTGCTTTCTCACTCCCCCCCCGCCCCCAGTGTTTCTCTCTCTCTGGTCAAATTAAAATAAATTAATGAATAAATAAAATTAAAATAAATAAAGTTAAATAAAATAATTCTTTAAAAAAAAAAAGTAAAAATAAGTAATCCCATTACCCAGATATTATCCACCATTAGTAAGTTTACTAGATATTCATCAAGAACTTTGTCCTGTTTTTAAACATGCATGTATTTATATTTTAACTTATGCATGAAGTTTAATGAAGTGAGCACTGATGCTTATAAAGCATACAAGAGAGACATTACATTCCCCCGTCCCTCCCACTCTCTGCTCCCAACTTTTTTTAAATAAAAAAAGGATTTCTTACTTGGGGCAGGCAGCCCGCCACTGGATCGTTTATATCTGCTCTCCTTTAAAATAGATGTGATTTTATATAAATGGCGGAAACCTGTTTTGCATTCAGAGGCAAAAATAAACTCAATTTCATCTTCGTGACTTTGGGGAAAAACATGAAAGATGTCATGGATCTGTAAAATGAATAGCTTAATTTACCATACACGTTAATGGAAATACTATATAAACAATTCTATTAAACTATAGAAAAAATAATTATTTGAAAAACACAGTTTGAAATATAAATAACTGTGAGTGCTAGAAATGTGGTATATTTACAATAACAAATTTTGCCTGGGCCTTTCAGATTTATTTTGCTTTTGTCAAAGACTTCATCCATTGAGAAATAAATGTTTCCAAATGGAGAAAAAAAGAAAAATGTGACTTTTTCTTTTTTTTGTTCACCATCTTTATAATCCTTGAAACACGGCACAAAGTTTGTTTAATGATATAAATCTTATTATAGAAATAATGAGGAAATTTTTTTTTTTTACTTTTTTTTCCCAAAGAGAAATATTTTAACAGTTGAAGGGAAACAGATGTACATCTGTTTTAGGTAAACCATATGAAGTCAATACTCAGCCAGAGGGTGAGTTAGCTTTATTATTGACTTATTTCATATTTTTTTCTTTTGACGGCACAAGTGCTCACCAAAGAGAGACAGAGAGAGGGAAAGTTAGAAATGACTTCCCCAGGGGACAGCCACACTGTGATTCCTTCTCTTCCACTCTCCCCTCGGGATTTTAGGCATGTACACTCATGCACCCAGCATTTTTTTTTTTGTTTTTTTTTTTGTTTTTAATAAGAGGTTTTTGCTATAGGGCGTGTGCACTCTCCAGAAAGAGAGAGAGAGAGAGAGACCAGTAGTTAGTGTAATGGCTATGTCACTGAACTCCCATGTAGTCGACCACAGTTCGAGTCCCGAACCCGGTGGCTTAAACTCACGCCGGGTGCGTGTGCGTGCGTGCCCAAGATCCCAAGAGGAGAATGGAGGAGAAGGGATTGAGGGCGATTTCTCACTTTCTGCCTCTCTGGTGAGCGCATGCACCCATACACCCCCTATAGCAAAAATCTCTCTCTCAAAAAAAAAAAAAAAAAAAAAAAAAGCAAAATTCAATTAAAAACTGGTATATTATGGTATGGTTTGCCAATTTAAAAAAGAAAGTCCTGGGTCAGCCCATGGCCTAGTGGTAAAGAGAACTGGGATTCTACATGGCTGACTTTACAGTTCAAGTCCCACACTGATGGCTTGAAAAACATACTGGGTACGTGTGTGTGTACTCAAAATCCCTAGGAGGGAGAGGTGGAGAAGGGACTGCGGTGTGAACATGCACCACAGAAGGTGGTGCATGTTTCTCCCTCTCCCTCTGTCTCTCTCCGGTAGGTGCATGCGCCCTCTGTCAGATTAAAGTAAGTAAATAACAAATAAAATCGTTCCTAAAGTGGACTCTCAAAGTCCTTTCAGAAGTCCTGAGGAGGCTGGAGAGGAGCGTGTGTATTCAGTAACTGGTGTGGCCACTTCAATGGCACCTGCTCTCTGCAGTCCATTCTGGAGTAATCACTCTGACTCGAAATGTTCAAACTAAAGAAACAGCATTCATGGTTCCTTTAAATTTAAAAAAGTACACTTTGATACTTTGCTAGAAAACTTAACCTGCTTAAACTTAACACAGGAAAAGATACATACATTTATCCAGATGTCTGTTGTCTCTTCATAGATAATCAGTGGCGTCACAGAGTCGGGCACTGACTCAATGAGTCTCTGTCTTTCCATGGCATCATCTTCTACTGGGATAAATAACGCAGGAGAGATCAACACTATCTGCAGACGAGTTTGGGAGCGATCTAGTAGAATGGACCAAGCGCTATTTGAAAAAATAGAAGAAAAGAACCAGAAATGAGGTAAGGTCTCAGAAAAAGGAATAATTCTCTATTTTTTTCCCCTTAGTACCCATCAATTATTTCTATAATCACAGGGAAAGAACTGCTTTAATATATACTACCACTTGTAAATAGCTAATTAAAAATATTCTACACTTATTTTAAAAAGTTATGTGTGAATAGTTTTTAAGAAGTACTTTTTCTTTTCTTTTTTTTTGGGGGGGGGAGAGGTTTTTGCTATAGGGCGTGTGTGCTCGCCAGAAAAACAGAGAGAGAGAGACAGAAAGTGAGAAATCACCCCCCCCATGGGGGATGGCCATGCCACAATCCCTTCTCCTCCATTCTCTCAGAATCTTGGGCATGCACGCACATGCGCTCAGAATGATTTTTTTTTTTTTGAGAGTTTTTTGCTATAGGGCGCGTGTGCTCGCCAGACAGACAGAGACAGAGACACAGAAAGCGAGAAATCACTCCCCAGGGGGGATGGCCACGCCACAATCCCTTCTCCTCCATTCTCCTCTCGGGATCTTGGGCACGCACGCACATGCGCCCGGCTTGAGTTTCAAGCCACCAGGTCCGGGACACGAACCACGGTCGACTATGTGGGAGTCCAGAGACATAGCCCAAAAGTTTTACATTTTTAAGAGAATTTTAAGAAAAATACTTCTTGGAACCAGCAGTTAGCGTAATGGCTATGTCGCTGCATTCCCACGTGGTCGACTGTGGTTCGTGTCCCGGACCCGGTGGCTTGAAACTCAAGCCGGGCGCATGTGCGTGCGTGCCCAAGATCCCGAGAGGAGAATGGAAGAGAAGGGATTGTGGCATGGCCATCCCCCCTGGGGGGTGATTTCTCTCTTTCTGTCTCTCTGTCTCTCCCTGTCTGTCTGGCGAGCGCATGCGCCCTATAGCAAAAACCTCTCAAAAAAAAAAGTAAAACTTTTGGAATTGTTAGTGTAAACAAACGCCAGTCTCATGATCCTCCTGGTGTCTGTACTAGACACAGGAATGAAACACCATCACTCTCATATAACGCTCCACAAATATCTATATTTAAACTATACAGTTAAACACAGATTTACGTGTAAGCCTAAAAGTCAGACAACTGGCCACAAATAACATTGTAACTGACTAAGTGAAAGAATAAAATGCACTGGACCTATGCTTATAGGATTATAAATCCTAAACTCAGATCAGGAAAGTTTCCTTGTAGGAATAACTACATCACCAATTTTCATGTGAAAGCAGCTCTGAACGTAAGGCAAACCTAACAGTATGGACACTTCTAAAGCTCTGGATCCTAAATTAGTTATAAAGAAGCGACAATTTAACATACGCACTATTTTCCCTCCGGAGTCCATCCAGCTCTGGCAATATATTCAACTCCTTCAAATAGAATCTCAAAAGGTTGAATTAGTTCCTTATCTATGACATCTATAATCTATAAAAAAGGAAAAGGGAAATCTAGTTATAGAAGATTTAGATAAATAATTAGCTCACTAGTCTACAAAAACTAGTATTAATAACAGAAAAATAGCTTTTGGACTTAATGTATTTTCTTTTTAAAAAATAATTATTTAATTTGATTTATTATTATTATTTCTTAATTTGCTATAGGGCATGAAAACTTACCATAAACAGACAGAGAAAGAGAGGGAAAGTGAGAAAGTGAGCTGTCAGGTCCAGTTGTTTAACCACTGTCAGTCATGTGGGATTCCAGCACCTTAACCACCATGCTACCTGCTAGCCCCTGTATTTTCTTATTTTAAGCAAATTTACTATAGGACATGTGTGCTCACAGAAGAAAGAAAAAAAAGGGAGGGAAGGAAGGAAGGAGAGACAGAGGGAGAGAAAAAATGAGAAAATACTCTCCCCCCACGCCCGGCAAGGAGGGATGGCCACATCACATTCCCCTCTTCATTCTCCTCTCAGGATTTTGGGCATGCACCCACACGTGCCTGTGTGAATTTTTTGTTTTTTTTTTGGAGAGGTTTTTGCTATTGGATGGGGGGGCCAGCAAGCCAGAGAGGGACAGAGAGATAGAAAGCGAGAAATCACCCCCGCAGGGGGGATGGCCACGCCACAATCCCTTCTCCTCCATTCTCCTCTCGGGATATTGGGCACACATGCACATGCGCCCAACGTGAGTTTAAGCCACCGGGTCCGGGACTCGAACCGCAGTCGACTACATGAGAGTCCAGCAACATAGCCATTATGCTAATTGCTGGTCCCTGTGATTTTCAGGCTGCCAGGTCTGGGACTCAAACCGTCGTTGGCCATGTGGGTGCCCAGCACCTTAACTACCATGTCACTTGCTAGCCCCTATATATATATTTTTAAATAAGTAAAGAATCTGAATAGATAGTCATGCAAAGGAGATACACAAATGGCTAACAAACACAGGGAAAAAATGCTCTGTATCTTTATCTATCAGTAAAAGAACTGAATACAAGATACCACTTCAAGCCCACGAGGACGATGATAATAAATAAGATGCATAATAACAAGTACTGGTAACAGCTTGGAGAAATAGGAAATCGCATACACTGCTGGTGGGAACAGAGGATAGTGCAGACACACTGGAAAACAGCTTGGCGGTTCCACAAAAGACGAAACATAAAGTTATCATATGACCCAACAATTCCACTTCTAGTATATACCCCAGAGAAGTGAAAATATAAGCTCACACAAAGATTTGTACATATATTCATAGAGCATTATTCATAATAGCCAAAAAGTGGGAAGAACCCAAATATCCATCAATTAATGAATGGATAAATAATGTGGTACTCTACATAGTGAAAAAAAATTTTTTTTTTGAGAGATTTTTGCTATAGGGCATGTGCACACGCCAGAAAGACAGAGAGAGACACAGAAACAGAAAGCAAGACATCACCCCCTAGAGGGGGATGGCCACGCCGCAATCCCTTCTCCTCCATTCTCCTCTTGGGATGTTGGGCACGCACGCACACACATCTGGTGTGAGTTTAAGCCACCAGGTCCGGGACTTGAACTGTGGTCGACTACATCGGAATTCAGCGACATAGCCATTACGCTAACTGCTGGTCCCCACAGTGAAATATTATTTGGCTGTAAAAAGAAAAGAAATGGTGCAACATCCAGTTTTGCAACCGGATGGACCTTGAAAACAATCTAAGGGAATGAAGACACACACATACTGTGTGAGTCCACTTTTATGAAATGGATAGAACGTAGATTTGTGGTTGCCTAGGGCTGGGGGGATGGGGAGGCCGGGGATGATGGCAAAGGACCTGGGGTTTCTTTCTGAGGTGATCACGATGTTCTAAAATCAACTGTGGCAATGTCTGCATGACCCTGTAATACTGAAAGCCACTGAATTTTAAACCTCAAATGAGTGAATCAGTAAAGCAGTTAAAGCAGAAATCTAGCAAAGACTGCTTTTAACTAATGTGTGGTGTAGCTCGTAATCACGTGATTATGCCAATGGAAAGCAGCAGTGCAAGAAAACTATGGGATGCCATCCACCAGAGATACCTACCAAACCCAGAAGGCACCTCCTCATCAGTCAATAAATACTTTTTTTTAAAAAACGCTTATTTGGAAAATTAATGACAGTGAAGAGGAAAAACTATTGGAAAGGAGTAGTAAATATACCTATTCTCATACTATCTTGGGAACCAGCAGAAAGTGTTAAAAGTAGAAAATTAGGTCAACCTGAGACCAGCAGATGGCATAATGGTTATATCTCTGGATTTCAATGTAATCAACCGCAGTTCAAGTCCAGTGGATTGAAACTCATGCTGCTCACATGTGTGTGCGTGCATGCCCAAACCCTGAGAGTAGAATGGTGGAGAAAGGATTGTGGAGTGGCCATCCTCGCTAGGAGTGATTTCTCACTTTCTGTCTCTCTGTCTCTTTCTGTTTCTCCAGAGAATGCAAGTGCCCTATAGCAAAAAAACTCTCTTAAAAAAAAAAAGAAAGAGGAAAGAAAGAAAATGAAGTCAACTTAAAATCATGATCCAGACGTCCTAGCAAGTTCAAGTCCAAAAAATTAAAGAATGCATCAAAGACTCTTACTAGGACTGACTAGATATGCCATATTGACACAAAAAGTCAGCTCGACATTGTGTACTCACCCTTCCTTCAGCGTCAATCATTATTTCCGACATCTTAAAAGTGACTTTTGGATTTGCTGTGCCTTTAGAAAGAGACATAAGTGAGCAGTATAGCAGTCCCTCTGTGTCTGTGGGTACCCCCGTGGCTGCCTGACACTGCGGATAGTACCGAGCCCCATATGTACTTCACTTTTTCCTAAACATACACACATATGATGAAGCATAATTTACAAATTAGGCACAGTAAGAGATTAACAGCTAATAACAATGTTGAACAACTGTGACGATATATCCTAATTTATATGAATGTGTATTCTCTCTCTCAAATAATCATTCTTATCATTTTGTACTGGAGATAACCATGGAAAAGAGAGGAGTCCTATAAACTTAGTCTAATTTTGCCAGATCAATCCTCTTTACACTTTAGGTAAGTCAAGAACACTATATACATATGTATGGTTTTATTGCAAACAAATCACACAGCCCCATCTCAAATTCATACTTCTTAAAAGGATGTGTACGCTTGCTGGAGAGAAACAGAGATGGAGAGAAAGTGAACAAGCACCCCCCATGGGGGATGGCAATGCCACAATCCCTTCATTCCTCCCTCCTTTTTGGGCGGAGGGGAGGAGCACGCATGCACACACAGCCAGTGTATTTCTCAAGCCACTGGGACTTGAACAGCATAGCCGGCCACAAGGGATCCCAGAAGGCTTAAGCACCACACCACCAGTTGGCCCTCTATACAGTTTTTCTAAGTGAAATGCAGTAAAACATCAAAATGGAAAAATAATTTATTAATTTATTAAGAATAAAGTCACTTAAAAATCTTGCTAGCAAAGACATCTTCTCATTCATTCTTTCAAATAACCAGTATCGTGGACATTCTCACCTTTGAAAATATGTAATAGGCCAGTTTTTAATTCGAAATCTGTTTCAGCGACACCTAATGAACGACCTATCCTTACCAAGGCTGTAAACAATCAGTGTTAACTTTGGATGACTACAGAAAAAACTTTATTTGGAAGGAGGAAAAAGTGAACATAAATGCCAATGTAGTACCTGTTTTAGGGTAACGGAAAGAATCTGCCCTCCTCGTTTCCAACATAGGGGATGTAACATGAATAATTTCCACTTCTGATTCATCATTTTCTTCATATAGAATTCTAAGAATTTTGCCACCACTGGGAGCTTAAAAAGAATTTAGATGTTGAAACTTTATAAGACTTATTACAAAGAGTAATCACAACTGATCGTTATTTCTTTTTTAGAGAGATTTTTGTTATAGGGCATGGGCATTGCTGGAGAAACAGAGACACAGAAAGCAAGAACTCACCCCCTGTGGGGGGTGGCCATGCTGCAATCCTTTCTCCTCCATTCTCCTCTTGGAATTTTGGGCACACATAACATACGTGCCTGGTGTGAGTTTCAAGCTGCCAAGTCTGGGACTTGAACTGCAGTTGACCATATGAGAGTCTAGCACCTTAACCACCAGGCCACGTGCTGGCCCCAATCATTATTTCTACTATTAGATTTATCACAGTAAAAAATAACTTACATATAAAAATATGCTGCCCCCTCTTTAAAAATTTTTATTTATTTTATTTATTCATGATACAGAGCGTGTGCACATACACGAGATAGAGATCCTCGCGGGATCTTACCACACTGTAATCCTTATCCTCCAGCCCCTCAGCTTCTCAGGATCTTGGGCAAGCATGTGCATGTCTGGGGTGTTCCAAGTCGGCCAGCTCAGGGATCCAAAGTCATGTGGCTTCCATCACTGCAGTTCAGTATACTACCAACTGCACCTTTTCTGTATGAGGGCATCACTAGTCTTTGCAGTAGCAAACTCATTACTGGTTAAGTCATTTCTACTGGCTAGTTTTTTCCCTAGGCCGACAGAGGTTAATGTGCTCCTCTAGAGAAGCTGGACCCCATGTGGCAATCATGGATATGAATCCTCCACTCAGTCAGCCTGAAACGTGCTTGGCATGCACCTGAGTGCCCAGGATCCAACAGGCTGGAGGAAGGGGGTCATGGCATGACCAAACTGTGGAGGATGCTCACCTCTCTGTCTTGTCTCTTTCATGCGTGCGTGCACTCTATCACAAATAAAAAGTAGGAGCAGTAGATGGTATAATGGTTATGTTGTTGGACTCCCACATAGCCAACTGTGGTTCGAGTCCTGGACCCAGTGGCTTGAAACCAACACTGGGCACATGTGTATGTGTGCCCAGGGTCCCAGGAGAAGAACGGAGAAGCAGGGATTGCAGCATGGCTGTCCCCCCAGAGGGCTGATTTCTCACTTTCAGTCTCTCTGTCTCTGTCTCTCTGGCAAGTGCATGCACCTTATAGTGAAAATCTCTCTCTAAAAAACAAAAACAAAAATAAAAGCAAAGAAAAAGTAAACTAAAAGAAAAGAAGGGAATTACTCCCTTTGGGAAGCTGTGATGGCACAAGTGCTTAGGCACTGCTGCATATATGGAGCCACGTGGAGGATTGTGGTTCAACTCTTGGCTCACTGAGAGGCTGAGGCAGGATCCAGGCATGGTGAGACTCTGTCAAGGGTTTTTCCCCTGTCTCCTTCCACTCTCCCACTCTCTTTCATAAAATAAATATAGGGTCGTCAGAAAAGTCATTATGCATTTTTGCACAGAAAAAACATAGAAAAATATGTCACAACTTTTTCAATGACGCAATATAATGTACCCTGCATGTTAATAATATGTACATATTTTTATTTATTTTAAAGAGATCTTTTGCTATAGGGCGTATGCACTCACAAGAGGCACAGAGTAAGAAATCCCCCCTCCCCCATGATGCAATCCTTCTTCTCCATTCTCCTCTCAGGATTTTGGGCACACAAGCACATGAGCCCAGCATGATTCAAGCCACTGGATCCATGACTCAAACCGTGGTCAGCCATGTGGGAGTCGAGCACCTTAACTACTACACCATCTTCTGTCCCCATTAATATATACATATTTTAACGAGGAAAGCTCCTTTTTCTTTAAAAGCTCCCTCCTCCTTCCCTCCCTCCCATCTTTCTTTTCTCTTACTAGAGAAAGAAACAGAGAGAGAGAGACAAAGAAGGACCCTGATGGGATCTTGTCATGCTGTGATTCTTCCCCTGGACTTCAAACCAGCCAAGATCATAGGCACCCTGACTGGTCAACCCCGGATTGGAACCGTGGGTCTTCTCATATAGCTCTAGAATTGTGCACTGGTGCCCTACCACCTGTGCTTCTGCTGCTGGGCTGAAAAACTCTTCTGGAGGACTCTTCCTTGCAGATCTTAAAATCTGTTAAAAAAGGAATTAATGGGGCTGGCAGGTGGTATGGTGGTTACGATGCTGAACTCCCACATGGCCAACAACAGTTCTAGTCTAGACCTGGCAGCTTGCTTTCCTACTTTCCCTTTGTCTCTCTCTCTTTCTGTCTCTCTCCAGTCAAATTTTAAAAAATGAATGATAATAACATAAAAATTAAATAAAAAATTAAGTAAATAAATAATTCTTTTAAAAAAATAATAAAACACAGGGACCAGCAGTTAGCGTAATGTCGCTGGACTCCCATGTAGCCGATTGCGATTCGAGTCCCAGACCCAGCGGCTTAAACTCACACTGGGCACATGTGCATGCATGCCCAAGATCCCGAGAGGAGAATAGAGGAGAAGGGACTGCGGCATGGCCATCCCCCCTGGGGGATGATTTCTCGCTTTCTGTCTCTGTCTCTGTCTTTCTGGTGAGCGCACGCATCCTGTAGCAAAAAACCTCTCCAAACAAAAAAAAAGATAAAGCACTGAATTAATTACATTTATAATATTTTCTCTTTTTGGGGGGGGAGAGGGAGAGGTTTTTGCTGTAGGGCACGTACGCTCACCAGAAAGACAGAGACAGAAAGCGAGAAATCACCCCGCAGGGAGGATGGCCATGCTGCAATCCCTTCTCCTCCATTCTCCTCTCGGGATGTTGGGCACGCACGCACGCATGCCCGGCGTGAGTTTAAGCTAACGGGTCCAGGACTCAAACCATGGTCAGCTACATGGGAGTCCAGCAACGTAACCATTACGCTAACTGCTGGTCCCAATATTTTCTGTTATTAAAAATACATGCTACTTAAAGAGTCCAGTTATTTTGAATAACCGTGTCAAAATCTTGTGGTAACAAAATCAATTATGGCAGAACATTTTACATCTAAAAATAAAATACCTAAATCTAAGACACAGCTTAAAAATAGATATTGGGCTGCTGGAAAAGTCATGATGCGCTTTTGTATAGAAAAACAGAAAAATATTTCATGACTTTTCTGACGACCCAATATTTTTCATGGTCCCTCAGAGAAGTGTTCAGACTGCATTTGGTAGCTGCAAACCATTAGTGACTCATGAAATCTACTGAAGTATCACAGCCAGCATTTAAGAAAATATAACGGGCCAGCAGCTATGAAGTGATTAAGGCACTGGACTTCCACGTGGTTGACTGCAATTCGAGTGCTGGACCCGGTGGCTCAAAACTCACAACAGGCATTTGTGTGTGCATTTCCAAAATCCCAAGAGGAAAATGGAGGAGAAGGGATTGGCATGGCCATCCCCCCGGCTATCTCTCTGTCTCTCTGGTGAGCACACACACCCTATTGCAAAAATCTCTCTCTCGAAAAAGGAAATACAACAAATAGAAAACAATAATAATGCCAGAGTGTATTACACATAGGATACATAGTGTTTCCCAAAACTGTTTTTTTAAAGAATTATTTATTTAATTTTATTTCTTTATTATTATTTAATTTGCTGGAAATGAGGGGGCAATGAGAAAGCAAGCCACCAGGTCTACGACTCGAACTGTGGTCAGCCATGTGGGAGTCTAGTGTCTTAACTGCCCCGCCACCTGCCAGCCCCTTGTTTTTGGTTTTATCTATATACCATGTGCACAACATATTAGGCCATATTGAAAAAGGAAATACAACAAATAGAAAACAATAATAATGCCAGAGTGTATTACACATAGGATACATAGTGTTTCCCAAAACTGTTTTTTTAAAGAATTATTTATTTAATTTTATTTCTTTATTATTATTTAATTTGCTGGAAATGAGGGGGCAATGAGAAAGCAAGCCACCAGGTCTACGACTCGAACTGTGGTCAGCCATGTGGGAGTCTAGTGTCTTAACTGCCCCGCCACCTGCCAGCCCCTTGTTTTTGGTTTTATCTATATACCATGTGCACAACATATTAGGCCATATTATAATTTCTAAACGGATCTTAGTCAAAATGTTTGAAAGACACTGCTTCAACCATTTGTTTCTAAAGCAGTGAAATATTTGTGAATTCACCCAGAAAAGAAGGAATTTATTTATTCCTTTTTTCTATATTCATTTATATGCTGACTTGTATATTCATGCAGACTCTCTGGTCAATCACACATTTCTTTTCAAGAATTATTCTGGGACCAGCAGGTGGCATGGTGGTTTAAGGTGTTGGACACTCCCACATGGCCGACCGGGGTTCGAGTCCTGAATCTGGTGGCTTGCTTTCTCACTTCCTCTCTCTCTCACTCTCACCCTCTGTCTCTCTCTGGTCAAATTAAAAAAATAAATGAATGAATAAACAAAAATTTATTTATTTATTATTACTATTTTTTTTACATGAGTTCTGCAGAGAAAGAGAGTGAGAGAGAGAGAGCCATCAGGTTGGGACTCAAACCACGGTTGGACATGTGGGAAGTCCAGTGCTTCAATCACCACACCACATGTTGACCGCCAATGTGTGGTAGTTTTAATTTATTGTCACCAATGTTGGCAACGCTACCAAGACCAGATCCCAGGTGACAAAAATGGCAAAGAGAATTAAGGGACCTGAGGCACTAAACTACAATACACTGTTTTTACTACAATTCAGTATGGTTAAATATTCTATATATTCTAAATAACTATTGGTAGGACCCAATCTTCATCACTTTAGAACCTACTATCCAAAATTTAGAATCTGTGTACTCAACTAATTCACAATACTTTACAATACTTTAACTGATCTAAACTATATGACTTTGGGGCCAGCAGGAGGTGTGGTGGTTAAGGTGCTGGACTCCCACTTGCTTGACTATGGTTTGAGTCCCAGGTCTGGCTTTCTCACTTTCCTTCTCTCTCTCTGTGACTGTCTATTCATTCTCTCTCTCTCTCTCTGATAAAATTAAAAAATAATAACAATTTAAAATAATAATAATAATTCTTTAAAAATAAATAAGTTAAATATATGACTTTAAATCCTCTTACTTATTTCAGCTTCTGGACACCACCAATAGCCAGAATATCTGTCGAATTCTTCTTGAAGAACAAAGGTAGCAACTCCAGCTGATCTGGGATCCTCTTCCATGTTGGCCAGCTCTAGATAAACGTAAATGACAAAATTATTAAAGGAAGCTATCTGTTCTCAGGTACAAAGCAAATAATTCAGTTTATTTTGACTTTTAGCTGGAGTGTGGTGGTGAAGTCTGGGGCCAAAGAAGTGAGTTCAAATCTAGGCTCCATCATTTACTTACTGTCTTCCCTTGAACACATCACCCAATCTCACTCAACTACAGCAAAACAAATCATTTGTAAAGAGCCTACTTTAGGGGCCGGCAGGTGATGCAGTGGTTGGGGCTCTGGACTCCTACATGACCGACCAATTTAACTTCAGGATCTAGTTGCTTGAAAATCATTCAAGCGTGTGTGTGTGTGTGCATGCCCCAAATCCCAAAAGGAGAATAGAGGACAAGGGATTGCAGTGTGGCCATCCACCCGGGGGGGAGGGGGTGATTTCTCACTTTCTTTCTCACCATCTCTCTCTTTCCAGCAAGCACACATGCACAATGTCAAAAACCTTTAAAAAAAAAAAAAAAGTCTACTTTATAAGGTTGTCATAAGAATTAAGAAGTTGGGGACTAGCAGGTGGTGTGGTGGTTAAGGTGCTGGATACTCCCACATGGCCAACCACGGTTCAAGTCCCGGACCTGGTGGCTTGCTTTCTCACTTTCTCTCTCTCTCTCTGGTCAAATTAAAATGAAATAAGTGAATAAATAAACTTATTTAAAAAAAAAAAGAATTAAGAAGTTAATTCATATACAGTACTTAACAATAAAACCTAATCCACAGTACATGCTCTATACATGTTATAATCTCCCTGTTTAGCTAGGCTCACCGGAAAAAGAATACATGTAAAGGGTCATTGTGACTTTTAACACTCTATTCTGAGAAGTGCATCTTTAGACTTATAACCGATTCTATAGATTATGTAACTCAACCACCCTTCTTCCCATTTAATCAGAGCAGCATAGCCTTCATCTGCTTTACCTTTAGGGTTCCAGCAAATAGTTTGAAGAGAACTCTTCCTTTAGTCCCGCCCCCTGCCCTTAGTCCTGATAGAGTAAGATGGGCACTCTCCATAGGATCTGGTCACACCGTGATCCCTTCCTCCAGACCTCCAGTCCAGGGGATCTTGGGTACTCTCATGCATGCCTGGCATGTGTCAGGCTGACCAGGTTGGGGATTTGAAATGCAGTTGCCATGTGAGACCTGGCTTCTAAGCAGTACAGCACTGCTATGTCACTAAGCCAGCCTGAGAACACTCCAAACACCAAAAAACACAAACAAAAACAAAGCTAAGACCAAAAAACAAACAAACAAAAACCCATTGGGGAGCTGGCAGGTGACATGGTGGTTAAGGGCACTGGACTCCCACTTAGTTGACTATGGTTCAAGTCCTGGACATGGCAGCTTGCCTTCTCACTTTTCTCTCTCTCACTCTGGCCCTGACCCTCTCTGGTCAAATTAAAATAAAGAAATGAATAAATAAAGTTAAATAATTCTTTAAAAAAAAAAAATTAGGAGCCAGGTAGCAGTACAGTGATAATGCAACTGAACCCACATAGGAAAGATCTTATTCAAGTTCTAGGACCTCCTTGAGCAAGTCAGGCATGTATGCCCATCATCTGGACTGAGCAGGGGTGGACTGCAATGTGAAGACCTTATTGGGATACCTGTCTCTCTCTTATGGAAAAAATAAGTAAACTAAAGAAAGGCCCAGAGTAGAGGGAAGCAGATTCCATGTAAACAACTGCAGTTCAAATCCTGGCCCCAGCACCTCAAAAGACACTCCAGGCACATGTATGTATGTATGACCCCAAAATCCCAATAGGGAGGAGAAATGGGAAAGCGATTGTTAAGTGAAAATACCCTACTGGGGAGCTTCTTTCTCCCTCTCTCTCTCTTCTATCTCTCTAGCAAGCCTGCCTACTCTCTGGCAAGTATGGTAATAATAATAAAAAAGCTACAAATATGTAAGATTTCATGTCATGGAGAAATGTGTATATTATATTTGAATTTTGTTTTACTGTTCAAAGAATCCCTTATTTAATTTTATTTATCATCATTATTTTTTGAACTAGACAGAGACAGGGAGAGAAAGGGAAAATGAGAAAGCAAGCCGCCAGGTCCAGGACTTGAACTTTGGTAGGCCATGTTTAGTAAAAAAAACTTTACTAAATTTGTACACTGTGATTTCATTTATAAAAATGTTACACAAACTTTTTTCTTTTAGATTTTTGCTATAGTGCATGGGCGCTTGCCAGAGAGAGGGAAATTACTCCTCCCACAAGAATGGCTACACCAACAATCCCTTCTCTTTTATTCATTCTCTTCTTGGAATTTTGGGCACATACATACACGTGCCCAGCGTGGTTTTTATTGGGGGGGGAGGGGAGGGAGAGGTTTTTGCTGTAGGGCGTGTGCACTCGCCAGAAAGACAGAGACAGAAAGTGAGAAATCATCCCCCGGGGGGATGGCCACGCCGCAATCCCTTCTCCTGCATTCTCCTCTCAGGATCCGGGGCACACATGCACACGTGCCCGGCGTGAGTTTCAAGCCACCATGTCCGGGACATGAACCGTGGTTGACTACACGGGAGTCCAGCGACATAGCCATTACGCTAACTGCTGGTAAACCTTTAAAAAAAAAAAAAAAGTCTACTTTATAAGGTTGTCATAAGAATTAAGAAGTTGGGGACTAGCAGGTGGTGTGGTGGTTAAGGTGCTGGATACTCCCACATGGCCAACCACGGTTCAAGTCCCGGACCTGGTGGCTTGCTTTCTCACTTTCTCTCTCTCTCTCTGGTCAAATTAAAATGAAATAAGTGAATAAATAAACTTATTTAAAAAAAAAAAGAATTAAGAAGTTAATTCATATACAGTACTTAACAATAAAACCTAATCCACAGTACATGCTCTATACATGTTATAATCTCCCTGTTTAGCTAGGCTCACCGGAAAAAGAATACATGTAAAGGGTCATTGTGACTTTTAACACTCTATTCTGAGAAGTGCATCTTTAGACTTATAACCGATTCTATAGATTATGTAACTCAACCACCCTTCTTCCCATTTAATCAGAGCAGCATAGCCTTCATCTGCTTTACCTTTAGGGTTCCAGCAAATAGTTTGAAGAGAACTCTTCCTTTAGTCCCGCCCCCTGCCCTTAGTCCTGATAGAGTAAGATGGGCACTCTCCATAGGATCTGGTCACACCGTGATCCCTTCCTCCAGACCTCCAGTCCAGGGGATCTTGGGTACTCTCATGCATGCCTGGCATGTGTCAGGCTGACCAGGTTGGGGATTTGAAATGCAGTTGCCATGTGAGACCTGGCTTCTAAGCAGTACAGCACTGCTATGTCAATAAGCCAGCCTGAGAACACTCCAAACACCAAAAAACACAAACAAAAACAAAGCTAAGACCAAAAAACAAACAAACAAAAACCCATTGGGGAGCTGGCAGGTGACATGGTGGTTAAGGGCACTGGACTCCCACTTAGTTGACTATGGTTCAAGTCCTGGACATGGCAGCTTGCCTTCTCACTTTTCTCTCTCTCACTCTGGCCCTGACCCTCTCTGGTCAAATTAAAATAAAGAAATGAATAAATAAAGTTAAATAATTCTTTAAAAAAAAAAAATTAGGAGCCAGGTAGCAGTACAGTGATAATGCAACTGAACCCACATAGGAAAGATCTTATTCAAGTTCTAGGACCTCCTTGAGCAAGTCAGGCATGTATGCCCATCATCTGGACTGAGCAGGGGTGGACTGCAATGTGAAGACCTTATTGGGATACCTGTCTCTCTCTTATGGAAAAAATAAGTAAACTAAAGAAAGGCCCAGAGTAGAGGGAAGCAGATTCCATGTAAACAACTGCAGTTCAAATCCTGGCCCCAGCACCTCAAAAGACACTCCAGGCACATGTATGTATGTATGACCCCAAAATCCCAATAGGGAGGAGAAATGGGAAAGCGATTGTTAAGTGAAAATACCCTACTGGGGAGCTTCTTTCTCCCTCTCTCTCTCTTCTATCTCTCTAGCAAGCCTGCCTACTCTCTGGCAAGTATGGTAATAATAATAAAAAAGCTACAAATATGTAAGATTTCATGTCATGGAGAAATGTGTATATTATATTTGAATTTTGTTTTACTGTTCAAAGAATCCCTTATTTAATTTTATTTATCATCATTATTTTTTGAACTAGACAGAGACAGGGAGAGAAAGGGAAAATGAGAAAGCAAGCCGCCAGGTCCAGGACTTGAACTTTGGTAGGCCATGTTTAGTAAAAAAAACTTTACTAAATTTGTACACTGTGATTTCATTTATAAAAATGTTACACAAACTTTTTTCTTTTAGATTTTTGCTATAGTGCATGGGCGCTTGCCAGAGAGAGGGAAATTACTCCTCCCACAAGAATGGCTACACCAACAATCCCTTCTCTTTTATTCATTCTCTTCTTGGAATTTTGGGCACATACATACACGTGCCCAGCGTGGTTTTTATTGGGGGGGGAGGGGAGGGAGAGGTTTTTGCTGTAGGGCGTGTGCACTCGCCAGAAAGACAGAGACAGAAAGTGAGAAATCATCCCCCGGGGGGATGGCCACGCCGCAATCCCTTCTCCTGCATTCTCCTCTCAGGATCCGGGGCACACATGCACACGTGCCCGGCGTGAGTTTCAAGCCACCATGTCCGGGACATGAACCGTGGTTGACTACACGGGAGTCCAGCGACATAGCCATTACGCTAACTGCTGGTCCCTCTCCTTCTGTTTCTACGGCCAGTGCACATACCCTCGGGAAAAAAAAAAGAAAGAAACTACCACAAAGTTCTTCAAAGGTTGTGTATTTAAGTTCTCCAGCATTTAGTGTTTTCAATCTTATTTTCCCACTTTTGCCAGTTTAGTGAGTGTGCAGTATATGGTACAGTGAATTTAGTTTCACAGGTAATTTTTACTATTTTTGCTTATCTGTGTTTTCTCTATTGCCTGACACACAGAATGAACCAATAATCCATTATGCAAAAGTTGAGTTCAGAATGCAGAAC